GTGTAGACAGTCATCTGGTGCACATACAAATTTCCTTTTGTGTTTTTTTTTTAAGATTATTTATGCATACAAGAACTGGGATGTAGGCCAGAGGTGTGGGGGGTGAGAGGATTCACCAGAGACAAAGTGTGGAACGGAACAGGCAGGTCGACAGAAATACAGTGCTGAGGGGAGCAGCGGAGGAGTCAGGAGAGGTCTGTTGCACCACGTGCTGCAGTGACTTTGGGGAGCTTCATAGTGCTGTGTCTTAACCCCTATGCCATCACTTTTGTGTTTGAATAAACTTTACAGATCACAATGCACTTTAACATCCTTCCTCTGCAGCTTTCAAAAGGAGGCAGGGCAAATACTCTACCCCAATTTAGAAACAAGGCCCCATTAGCTGACTTGCCCATGGCGGCACAAAGAATGAGTAAGAACGCCCTAAGTCTGCATGCTCTTCCCTATGACTGATCATCTTGCCCTCTTTGGCAAATCCTGGGTAACTTGAACTGCTCAATCACTGCTCAGGTGGAGTGAGGAGGAAATGTGCTTGTAGGTTTTATTTATTTTTTAAAAATTTATTTTATTTATTTATGCACACAAGAACTGGGGTATGGGCCAGAGGTGCGGAGGGTGAGAGGATTCACCAGAAACAGAGTGAGAAACAGAACAGGTGGATTGACTGAAATACAAATGGGCAAGACAGGAAAGGTCTGCTGAACCATGCGGGTTAGCTTCCTGGCCAGGCATCGAACTCATGCTGCAGTTCAATAGCACTGAGACTTAACCCTAGCGCCACCAGGGAAGCCCTGTAGGTTTTATTAATCAAAACCAGAATGCCTTAGACTCTATGGCTTAAAAAACAAATAATTATTTCTCAAGGTGTTGGAGACTGGCAAGTCTAAGGTCAAAGTGTCAGCCAGTTTGGTTCCTAGTAAGAACTGTCTGGAGACTCTCCTGGTTTGTAGATGGTCACATTCTCACTGTGACCTCACATGGTAGAGAGAGAGCACTCATGAGCTCCCCAGGGTCTTTTCTTAGGTGGGAACTAATCCCATCAAGAGAACTCTGCCCTCAGGATTATAGGGACTAGGAAGCAGAATGAAAAGGGCACCATGAGTAGTTTAGGAATCTTTGAGCTCTGACCTGTTTGCTCTGAGTTAACTTCCCAGCCAGGATGTGCCTGGAAGAGGGATCGACACCATTTCTAGTGTCAGAGACTGTGCCATCCCAGAAGGAATGAAGTGCTCTAAATTCAAATACCAGCGGAGAGGGAGCTGCAGAGGAGACTGGGCACCATAAACCTCCCAGAAGTTGTTAACCACCTGCAGTGAAAGCCCAATCACTGATAATTAACTGTCTTTGTTTAAGTTACTATAAAACAGCCAGTTAGAGATGAGGTGTTAGAATCGATTCTTTGGAGCATGATACTCCACTTTCTCAGATTAGCAGGCTAATCTAATTTAAGCATGTATTAAAGATTCAACTCCTGTCCTTTGCCTTTTTCTGGCTTCATGGCACGTGGGTGACAAAGAACCTGGAATTTCCTGGCAACAGTGACCTCATCTAACCTTAACCCTAATTATCTCCCAAAGGTCTGTTAGGGGGAGAGGATGTCCTGAGCTAATCCCATACAGGCTTTGTGGACTCCACCCCCACTCCAGATTAAAGCCATCAGGACATTGGGAAAGACAAATCCCATCACCACCAAGGGGAGGGTGGCTGGGACCTGAGGGTGGAGTTAAGCAGCCAGGTTGGGTATAAAAATCAAACACGTGGGCTTTGGGGGGCTGGCTGTCGCTCGCCTCCTGGCTTGCAGCCAGCTCTCAGAGTGCCATTTGGGATTCCAGATCGGTGGATCGGGTAGGACTCATTTAAAACTTTGTCTCCCACTTTTCTCCCTGAGCTGTACATTTCCTCATTTCCCCTTCCCTTGTAAATAAACCTTTTATTAACCTTTCGCGTGTGCCTGCAGTAGAGCATTGATAAGTCCTTTTAAGTGCGCGGGTGAGGACCACAGTCAGACACCCCGTTTTGTATCGGGGCTGCCCTATAACAGTTTGGCGCCCAGCGTGGTTTCCAAGTTACACCCGTGGTTGACCAGCCCAAAGTAACATTCCTTGCGTTGGTCACCATAAGCGCACTACAGCACATTGAGGGTTGAAGCTTTAACATCTGAATTTTCAGGAGATACAAATCTTGGGGTACCCATCTCCTCCCTACCACTGGTGGGGATCATACATTATAGCCAGCGAGGCAGTAGAATATTGTCCAAAAACAATTCAATCTCACTCTACCAGAAGGGAGTGGGGGTGGGAGCAGGGAAAGGAAAGAGGACAAAACTCAGAGTATAGGAAGAGGGTTGCTAGATTTAGCAAATAAAAATAACAAATGTCTTGTTAAATTGGAATTTTAAATAATGAATACTTGTTTGGTATAAATACATGCCTGGTTTGGGATATACTTATACTATATATATTTACTATATATGTACAAAATAAATATACACTATTAATATATGTATTTGGCTTTATGTCTGAAATTCAAACTTGGTGATCTTGTTTTCATCTGGTAATCCTAAAAGAGAGGGGTCAGCACTTTTCGGCAAGTCAGTGGGTTACAGGGAGGGACTATTGCAGCATTTCTGAGCTGTTGCTTCCTTTACATATTTAACTTTTCCTTTAAATCGTATTTTTTGGGGTGGGTGATAAAATTTGCATAACCTAAAGTTTACCATTTTAACCATGTTAAATGTCCAGCTTCGTGGATTTAAGTAACAGTCACGCTGTTGTATAACTATCACCACCACCCATGGGCAGAACTTTCTCATCACCCCAGACTGACATGGTAAAGAAGTTGGACAGTACTTAAAGCATTAAAAATAGATTTTATTCAGGGCCTCCCCTGGTGGCACAGCAGTTGAGCGCTGGGTTGCGAAGCTGCCCGCAGCCTCTGCAGCGCCGGTTCCATCCCCGGCTGCTCCCCGGCCACCAGAGGAGGGTCCCACATGGCTCGCAGACCTCTCCTGCCGCCCGCTGCTCCCCTCAGCAGTGTATTTCGTCCTTCTGCCTGCTCTGCTCCCCGCTCTGGCTCTGGTGAAATTCTCTCACCCTCCCGCGCTTCTGACTGTACCCAGTGCTTGTATAAATATATAAATTTTTTTTAGATTTTATTCAGTAAAGAGACCTCTGCATAGAAATGGAGCCAGTTCTAACACAGCATGGAGAGGAGGGGACTTAGAGCCAAGGGGTAGGTGTCTGTGGGCAGACGATGACTAAGAAGGTAGGAAGGTTAACTCTGCTAAACTGACTTAACAGGATTCTTGCAGAAGGCCTGTCAGGGTGATCTGGACTCAGGTGGATGAGGAATTTGGTCAGATAAGGCAGCCTATCTGATATGAAGGGTGGGGAGTCTGTCTAAACTCACTTATAAGGATTCCAGTTAAAACGGGACAATGCAAGTTAAGTCCCACTTTGGAAGAGGATTCAGAGGCATCTGGCTAAGGTTTGGCCAAGGACAGACTCTCAGAAACTCTATATCCCTGGAACAACAGCCCCCCTCCTTCTCCTTGCCTCCCAGTCTTTCCTGACCACTATCCTAACTTGTCTCCAGACATCTGACAATTCTGGGTATTCCACCGAAGTGAAATCATCTGCTATTTGTCCTTTCCTGTGCGGCTTGTATATCTATCTTGTAAGGGGATGGGAACTAAGCGGCCTCTATGGGAAGAAGTGCCCACCAAGCTCAAGACAGGAAAGGGTGTGCCACTCTGTCTCTGGTGAATCCTTTCAGCACCCCACATCTCTGGCCTGTACCCCAGTTCTTGTATGCATAAATAAATAGATCTTAAAAAAAATCAAGAAAGAGTCATAGAAGGCCTCCCTGGTGGTGCAAGGGGTTATAGCACCTCACTATGAAGCCATCGCAGCCTCTGCAGCACGAGTTCCATCCCCAGCCGGCCAGGGAGCAACCCCCACGGCGCAGCAGACCTGTCCTGACTCGCCCGCTGCTCCCCTCAGCAGTGTGTTTCAGTCAGTCTGCCTGTTCTGCTCCCCACTCTGTCTCTGGTGACTCCTCTCAGCCCCCCGCATCTCTGACCCCAGCTCTTGTATGCATAAATAACTAAATCTTCTTAAAAAGAAAGAAAGAAAGGTTGTGCCAAAGATGTCTTAAACCGGCCAAGAGGGGCGGGGCCGTTCCTGGACCTGTAGGGCGGGTCACACTGAGGTACCCCGAGGGCGACCCTGCAACGCGGAGGCCGGCAGCGGCGGTGGGGGCTCGGCGGGAGCAGAAGCGCGCGGGGGCGGCTCTCGGCGGCCGCGCATTCGGGACACACCAGACCCGCGCCCGCGGCGCCCGCCAGTGCCCGCGGCCGGAACTCGGCGAGCGCGGCGGCCCCGGGAGGGCGGGGCGGGGCGCGGCGGCGGCGCTAGGGCCCGGCGGGCGGCCGGGCGGGCGGAAGCGCAGCCGGGCGCGACGGGCGCGGGCGGCGGCGCGCAGGTGAGGGTGGCGGGCAGGCCGCGGGCGGGCGCAGGCCCCCCGGGTCGCGCCAGGCCCCGGCTCGCGGGGGCGGCGGGCGCGGCCGGGCGCCCGGATGCCGGGGGCGGGGAGGCGGGGCCCCCGGGGCGGGCGGGAGGGGCCGAGCGCAGGGCCGGGCCTGGGCGCGGAGGCGAGGGGCCGCCGCCCGCCCGCGCGCCCCTTCCTCGGCGGGGCCGGCCGCGGGGCTGCGCGGGGACGAGCGCCTGGGCCCGCACCCCCGGCGCCCCGTTTTCTTCCGACGCTGCCTCTCGACTCGCGGCCCGCCCGGAGCCGGCGCCGGGCCTCTGCTCACCAGTAAGCCGGGCGCCCCCCTGCTGCCCCCGGACTCTCCCCCCGCGCGCCGCGGCCCCCGCCCCGGCCCCTCGGAGGGAGGCGGAGCCGCGGGCTGCCGGGAGGCCCTGCTGGGAGCCCGACGCGGGTCTCCGGGCCGGGCCGCGGCCGCCGCTGCGCTCTCGACCCGCCGGGCCCTCCCGTGCCTTGGCACCCTCTGGACTCTGGTTTCTAGAAAGGGCAGGACTGGCCCCTCAAACCCGCCCACTCAGCGCCCATCTCGCCCCGGCCCGTCTCAGCTGACCCCACACCCTTTAGACCGTGCCGGGCTCCTGCCGGCCTACACCAGAGGTGTTTTAGTTTTGTTTTTAAAGATTTATTTATTTTTATACAAGAGCTGGGGTACAGGCCAGATGCGCGGGAGGGTGAGAGGACAGCGTGGGGAGCAGAACAGGCAGACTGACGGAAACACTGCCGAGGGGAGCAGCGGGCGAGGCAGGAGGGGTCTGCCGCGCCATGTGGGTATCTCCTTGGCCGGCCGGGGATCGAACCCTTGCTACAGAGGCTGGGGACAGCTTCACAGCGCTGTGCTCAACCCGCTGCGCCACCGGGGAGGCCCCACACCAGAGGTTTTTGACCTGGGGAGTGATTGACCCGGGAGCCGGGTGTTCCAGGCTGGTGTGCAGGAAGGATTCACTCTTTTCTGAGATTAGAAACAGCCTTACCAGCGACTGGCATGGTGGGTGTCCAGTTCCTTAGAAGCTTCCAGATTCTCTAAGGTGGTGCTGGCCACTGGAAATACCTCATGAGCCACATGTGTGATTTTGTAACAGGTGAAATTCACTTAGTAATTGATTTAACCCCGTATACCTCGAGTATGGTCATTTCAGTATGTAGTCAATATAAAATGTTTAATGAGGTATTTTACACTCCTTATTCATATGAAGTCTTTAAAATTCGGTGTATATTTTACACATAATGCTACATCTTTTATTTTTTTTAAGATTTATGCATACAAGAGCTGGGGTACAGGCCAGAGGTGCGGGCAAGTGAGAGGATTCACCAGAGACAGAGTGGGGAACAGAACAAGCAGATTGACCGAAATACATTGCTGAGGGGAGCAGCAGGTGAGACAGGAGAGGTCTGCTGCGCCATGTGGGTTGCTCCCTGGCGGGCCGGGGATCGAACTCATGCTGCAGAGGCTGCAGACAGCTTCACAGGTTGTGTCTTAACCCCTTGCGCCACCAGGGAGGCCCTTAACACTACATCTTAATTCAGACTGGCCGCATCCCCAGTGCTTCATACCCACCGGCACCTTGTGGCCACCTTAGTGGACAGCACCCATCAGTCTGAACTCCTGACCAGGGTAGTCAGCGTTTGCCTCTGTTCTGTTTCCTGCTTCTTGCCCAAGGATGGTTGTAACCTCCCCACTCAAGACCAGTTGCCATTCCCTACAAGCCTTGGTTCCATTTCTACCTGGAATGCTCTCCCTGGGCCTGGTACAGCCTCTGCTGAGAGGCTTTTCTTGACTCTCCTCACTCCAAAAGGGGTGAATTGCCCCTTCCTGATGTTCCGTTCGCACTGTATTTGTGGCTGGTTCCTGTTTTTGAGACTCTGTGGCTGGTTTAGTGTCCCAGTCATCTTTGTTGACATCATGGCTGGCACTTGATAGTTAATATTTGCAGACTGAATGAGTAAACCTCTAACCAGCTGTACTCAGTCTCCTAATTCAGGAATTGACCTTGTTTAGAAGACTGTGCCTGTGTTACCCTCTCCCACACTTGTGTGGGCATCCACACACACCCTTGAAACTAACCATGCGGAATGCATGTCCAGGTATACACAGAAAGCATCTACTTTTACCTCCTTCTGAGTTTACAGATGGGAAAACTGAGGTACAGAACTGAGTTAGGGTGGTCAGCAAATTTGTATAACATAAACACAAAGAAGGGATTCTTGAGTGTGATCTCCAAGGGTTAGGTTAGGTTCCTGGTCAGCTGGCCCCACTTTAGTATTTGACAGGAGGGAAGAGAAGTGGACCCTGATGAGGATTCCATCAGGGTAGGTTCAGGTGTGGGAAGCCGAGGCTGTCCCTGCTGGAGAAAGTTGAAGAGCAGGATGGTCATTTCGGATCCTGAAAAGTGCTGACCTCAGAAGGATAGGAGAGAACAGGTCGGGTAGCAGGAAGGACTGGGAGGTGAGCAGAGGGAGCAAAGGAATAGACTCCTTGAAGAAGGTGTTGGTGTGATAGATGGAATAACCACTTAAGAGACCTGTGCCACTCTTAGTCTGCAGAATGGGTAAGGGAAAGAATCGGAGATTCAGAGAAGGCAAACAACTTAATCAAGTTCACACAGCACTTCAAGCCCAAATGAAGCCTCCTAAGCCCTTCCCGCCACAGTTACCCAGCTCCCCTGACACCTCAGTTGCAACCAAGGGCCCCAACTTGGTACCTCAGAGAACAGTCTAGGGCGCAGTGCCAGACCTGATTAATGTCATCTCCACCATCTTCTGCCGAGGGGCTGTGACTAAGCCTATTTATAGGGGCCCAGTGCCTTAATATTCTGCCTGGTGCTTCTCTTGCCAATCAAATCAGTGCTTCTGCAGTGTGATTGCTGCTTTAGTGGCACCAGGGAGCGAAGTTAATTAAACCCAGTATAAATAGACTGTGCCCTCGCCTTGCAATTCGAAGGAGTGCTTTTCCTTCCTGCCCCCCACCTCCACATGCTCCTCTTGACCCCCCTTAGATGAGCAGAACCTGGGCTCCTCTGTGACTGAAGTTGTGGCTACTGCCTGTCCTATCTCAGGAACAGGCCCTGAGTTCTTCAGGGACCAAAGTGAAAGAACCCAGAAGTCCACATTTTGCGTGCGTTTCCTGACCTGGTGCCTTTTAGCAGTTGATAGAGGAAATCCTCTCCCACCCCCACAAATCCATCCCCCTGCCTCCAGCCTTTCTCCCCACTCTGCAGCCGGGGTTCCTTTGTTGTTCATCCAGGCTTGGGTGATTGAAAGAAACAATTCACTCTCATTCTCTGTCGTTCCTACCCATCCCCCCTCATTTGTTCCATAAGCATCAACAGAATACCAGCTCCTGACCACCCCACCCCCCATGCTCTGCTGCCCACCTGCACAGGCGAAAGCTGGAATGGTTGGGGTGAGGGGCTGTGCCCTCTGGTACCCTTGCCCTGTCGTGGGTGGCTTAGGGTGAGTGTGGGGTAGTCCTGATGCTCTGGTTCCCACCCACAGGCACCATGACGCCCATGAGGACCCAGAACTCCTTGGCAGGTCAGACCTATGCCGTGCCCCTCATCCAGCCGGATCTGCGGCGAGAGGAGGCCATCCAGCAGGTGGCCGATGCCCTTCAGTATCTGCAGAAGGTCTCTGGAGACATCTTTAGCAGGTGGGTGCCAGCAGCCACTAGGAGCAACCCTTTGGGTGATTCTTGTTTTTTAGGGGGTGGAGGGAAGACCCCCACTGGCTTCCCTATGTCCAAGCTAGCAGCCTAGCTTAGAACTTTTCTCCCAAGAACTCATTACCTACTGTGCCACTGAGCTGCCTGCTTCTCTGTGGATCCCACCAGCCTCCCCATACTGGTACTGCTCTCCCAGCTCCTGCTCTCCCTCCCCTGGCGGGCTCTTCCTTCATTTACCCCAACAGTCAGCAAACATTTTTCAGTGTGCAAGGCACTGAGCTCTTCTCTTTAGTTACAGCAATGAATATAGCAGCATCCCTGCAACTAGAGTATATGCTCTGGCAGGAGAGACACTCTAATTAATCAGTTACATGTATTTAATTACAATTGTGATAAGACTAATTCATAATGATTTTGTAATAACTAATGTTTATATAGCATTAGGTGTGTGCCACCAGCTAGCCGAGTGCTGCGGGTCTGCTAATCCTAAGCGGCCTGGTTGGCTACCATTTTTTTACCTACAGTTCTGCATTTCTAGATAAGGTCAGAACTGCCCAGTCAGTCAGTTATAGGCGCTCAGCCTTGCAAGGTGCCTTTTAAATCAACCAAAAGAAGAAAGCTTGATCACCCTGGGAAGGGTGTGCATCGTGAGGTGCAGTGTTGTCAACGCAACAGAGTGCATCAAGCCATTTAACCCTCACGGCATCTTTATGTGGAGGTATCGCTACATATGAGGAAACTGAGGCACAGACTTATCCAGGTGGCAGAGCCAGGGGTCACACCCAGGTATTATAGCTCCAGACTCTGCAATAATTACTGTCTTTCTGTGAAGGGGCGATAAGTTGCTATGAAACTTGTTTATGGGAGGCATGACGTCTTGGGGGACCAGGGAAGACATATGTGAGGGAAAACATGGGTGGTCAAATCTGAACGGTGAGTGGGAATTACTGTGAATGGGTCAGTTGGTAAGAATGTTCCAGAAAAAAAGAAGGGCATGAGCTAAAGCCCTGAGGTAGAAGGACCTGAGTGGAAGCCAGAGTGACGGGAGACAGGAGAGTAAGGAGGGCTTTTGAGTCATTCAGAGTCATTGTGAATTCTGAGGTGGAGAGTGGCAGCTCTTCTGTCACCAGTGCTTATGGACCGCAAGCCAGACAAGCGTGGGCTTTCTTGACTTTTCACTCAGAGTGTAGTTGAATGAATGAACGGTGTTTGCGGTCTCCTTGCAAAGGTTCCAGTTTTGTCCTGAATACGGGTCCTGTCTCTGGCTATGAGCAACCTGAGTTGGGGCTTACACCTCCCGCCTGTGCTCTCACATCACCTCACAGGGGGCCTTTTACCCTGTCCGTGTGACGTGTTTGCCTGCCTGAATCAGGTCCTCTCCTGTCCAGGTCACCTGCAGCCCCATTTATACTTCTGACCAGGAAGTCCCTGTGGCTTCTCACGTGGCGGGAAGTCACTCTCTTGCTAGAAGCCTTCCCCAAGGCAGGTAGGAATGGGGCCACTGTCTCCAGTTGCACTTGGTGAAAACACTAGGTCCTCTTGACTGCTCTGCCTCTGCCCTGCTACTCATGCACCTGCCTGCCCCAAGCCTGTCCGGAGCCCCATGCATCCTCGGGAACTGAGAGCCGGTACCTCAGGTGGTTAAGGGCTTGACTCCGGACCAGACTGTCTGGGCTCCAGTCTGGCTCCCCCCTTGGCTTGTCCTATAACCTTGGGCAGTTCCTTAGTCTCTCCGAGTCTCAGTGTGCTCGTGTATAATCCGGTGATAATAACGGTACCTTCAGATAGGACTGTTGTAGAGATTAAAGGAATGAAAACATGTAAAGAAATGAAAATGTTTGACTTGCAGTAAATGGTCAGTAAATGTTTACTCTGATTATCTGCTGCTGAATTCTCTTCCCATTTGCTGCCTTGGTGGCCCTCCTCAACCTGCTTTCAGTAGCACAGAAAGCATTAGGCGCAGCAATTGTTTGGGGAATAGGACCAAAATGATAATGCATACATTGTGCAAAAATGAAAAGTGATGTAAGAATTATATAAAATAAAATATCAATTAAATAAAAAAAGAAAGCATTAGGCGCAGTGGCCTTCTGTACTTATTTCCATGCTAAGTATGCCTGAGGAACACGTAAGCAAGAGGACTCAGGCCTTTAGCACCACCAGCCCCAGGTTATGGCCATCCCGTCCGTGCTCAGTGTTTGAAATGGATGCCAAGACAACCCGTCTGAAGTACTTGTGACTGCATGCTTGTTTTTCTCTAAGGAGCATTTGGATGTTTAGCATATTTTCCTTTCCTTGTAGCCAGATTTGTGTTCCCTGACCTGGGCAGGAGGAAGAGGGGAGGAAGGCCATCTCCCGGGGAGCCGTGGGGGGTCGTTGAGCAAGGGTGTGGGCCCTCTGTTCCTGTGGCTAGGGAGGCCCAGGAGGGCAGGAGGCCTCTCAGGAGCCTGGTACCTGAGTCCAGGCTCCTCCCACAGCCAGTTCTAGGTCAGTCCATTGAGCTCCTGCCCAGTGCCTGAGTAATACATGGCTGCTGTCCTCTGTGTCTAGAATCTAGAATGGAAGAGCAGTAGGACTGGGTTGATTAATTGCATGGCTTGTATTGTGGGGGCTTCTAGGAATCTCAAGAAAAGAAGTGAGAATTGGTGGCATAGTTTTAGCCAGAACTCCCCAAACCAGCTCCAGCAAATAAGTAACTGGTCAGCAGTGCCAACTTAGAGCCGCAGGGCTTCAGTGATATTGTCAAGACCTTGGTCCAGCTTGCAGCTGCTAAGTTGGCCACATTCCCAGAACGACCTTGCTCTTGTGTGACAAGGTACAGCCAGCGGGGTGTGCATGAGGTGCAGGACCAGTGGGGAGGGGTGCTCTTTTCCGCACCAGCACCCCTCAGAAGCCCCACTCACGCCTTGGTCTGGCTTGGTTCTTATGCTCCTCGCACAGCCAGTTGCTGGGGTTAGGGTCGTGGCATTTTGCTTGCCTCAGAGCTCGGTCACATGTGTTACCCCTGTGCCCTGGGTTTAGACCCACGCGAAGTGCAGGGACTGAGCCTCCCAGGGTAATAGATGCCCCAAAGAAAATGTGGGCTCTTGTTGAATAAGGAGGAAGTAGATGCTAGAGGAGAACCTGCTACACAGGGTTGAGGGAGGCCTCTGAAGGAGGGGTCATGACTAGGTCATGGTAGACCACAGTTGTCTGGTGGAGTCTAGAAATGGGTGCCGAGATTTGGAGACCTGAGTGAGCGGAGCGTGGTGTAGCACAGGCTCCCCAGGGACGTGGCCATCTTGCTGCCTGTTCCCCACACTGAGCTCCTGCACTGTGGAAGTGTGTTAAAAGGCACCTCCGCGTGCCTGTGGGCCTTGCTTCCCATCTGGATTGTATGCCTTGGAGCTTCATCTCCTACCCCATGACCTCCACAGTGCCAGGCAGCGCTCCAGGGCGGAGGAACAGGAGGGAGGATGGTGAGTGAGAGAGAAGTCAGGCAAGTAACCTGAGGGCTTCTCCTAACAGGACAGGACTTTGATTCAGAAGTTTAGGGCCGCCATTGATTCCTGAGCAGGGAAGTGATGGGACAGAAGAGTTTGGGGCAGGCCCACTGGGCAGCTGTCACAGAGTGGACAAGAGTGGGAGACAGTGGATTCCAGGGCCCACCTGAAGCTGTTACTGTAGTCAGAGCCTGGAAGGACCGAGGCTATGGTCCAGGGCACTTGCAGGCAGGGAGGGCGAGATAAGAGACAATTCAAAGGGAACAAAGATTGGGCATAAGGATGAGGGGAAGGGAGGAGCCAGGGATGATTGTGAGTGGGGGTGGGGAGTGCAGACCCAGCCTCATCCCCCTCACCCCCCAGCGGTCAACAAGCATGTGGGCTTTTTTTAAAAAAAGATTTATTTATCTATTCATACAAGCACTGGGTACAGTCAGAAGCTCTGGAGGGTGAGAGAATTCACCAGAGCCAGAGCGGGGAGCAGAACAGGCAGACCGAGGAAGTACACCGCTGAGCAGCGGGCGGCAGGAGAGGTCTGTGCGCCATGTGGGACCCTCACCTGGGGATCGAACCGGTGCTGTAGAGGCTGCGGGCAGCTTCGCAGCCCAGCGCTCAACCCTTGCGCCACCCTGGAGGCCCCCATGTGGGCTTTTCACTTTGTGGTGGGGGGATCTGACCCCTGCTTGCAGTCTCCCGCCTGAAACATGCTTCTCCTGCTGGCAAACCTCTTGCAAAGAAGTGGCCGGTGGGTAGAGAAGAAACACTTTGTATCTCCACTCGCCTTCATTCCCCCCATTCCAGGCCCGGCCCCCTGGCCCCACTGCAGCCTGTGCCCAGTTCTGCAGGCAGGTGAGCTCATGGGAAATTAGCATTCCAGGCTGGCTCCTTCCTCCTGCTCTGCCGCAGCAGCGGGAGCTGCAGAGATGGAGAGAATGACAAGTACCTCTTCTGGCTCTCTGGGACGCTTCCACCCCCTCCCTGGCGCCTCTCCCTGACCCGCACAGCTCCCCTGCCCTCGTCACCTGAGGGAAGCGAGGCCCCAAAATATCCGCCCAGAGACACCACCTGCTTCACGACACAGACTGTAGGGCAGCGGAGCGGGATGAGTCCAGGTGTGGGAGTTGGGGTGCTGTGCCTCGCCTCTGCCGCCAGCCCCAGCCTGACCATTTCACGGGAGCTGCCGCTGCTGCTGCTGCTGCTGCTGCCGCTGCTGCTGCTGCTGCTGCTGCTGCTGCTGCTGCTGCTGCTGCTGCGCTCCTTTCCCCCCTCCCCCTCCTCTTCCCTTTTCACTGGCCACCCTTTCCCCTCTGCCTCACTTCCTCCTCTTTCTCTTCCTCACCCCCCTCCTCCCTCCCTTCCTCCCCCCTCCTGATTGGCACCTGGTGACTCCCAAGGTTGGGCAGCACTCAATCAGCTGCCTGCATAATTAGCAGATCATTCTTAATTATCCCAGTGAGCGGAGAAGGTCGAGGCAGGAACCCAGATTCAGGGTCTGCTGTGCCAGCGATGGGCAAGCGGAGGAGAAGCGCGGTTGTGGGTCAGGAACAGTGCTCCTGCCCGGCAGCCTCCACCTCCACAGACTGGCATCTGGTCTGCCTGGCTTCACAGGAAGTCTCCCCCTAAGGGAATGGGGGTTCAGCTTTGGATATGTTCGGACAGGGGACTCAGGCAATGTCCTAGTCACCCTATGCCCTCCCTGTCCCACACCAGGAGGAGCGTGGTCCATCGTGCTGTGCCGCACACCCCACGCAAAGGCGGCCCTGACCAGCTGCTCTGCACCCTGCCCTCCATGTTCTCCTGCAAAGTCTCTTCCTTTTCTGTGCCCAACACTGCCTCTTCTCAACTTCCCCTTCCCCTGCCTGTCCATCCAGGGAGAGGTTCTTGCTTTCCTCTGGGGGTCCACAGCCCCTCATCCCCCAGTCTCATGGGTTTGTACTAGGGAACTGTCACCAAGGATGTGTCAGCTCGTACAGGAACACCGGACAAACATTCACTCGTGTTTGCCTCTACAGTGATTCCGTCATAGAGAAATTGTTATTCCTGTTTCTCAGTTAAAGAAGCTGAGGCCTGTAGACCAACTAAGTGGTTTCCAAAGTCACTCTGCTTCAAACGCACCAGGTGGCAGCACGCTGTAGTTACCCGTCTCCCCAGGAGGCTGGGGTTTCCTTGTGGGCAGGTGTGTTGTCTCACTTGGCTCCATCCCCCTCAGCACTGAGTTTTGCAAACTGAGCACAATTAGAACTTGTTGAACAGTGAAGGGTGGGAAGGAAAAGCCGAAAGGGACACATGCTTGGCAGAGCTTCTCCTGCAGGAGCAGGTAGGGGAAGATGAATTAGCAGCAAGGCCCAGGCTCCATCCTTACTCCATCAGAGGAAGCCTTCCTCTGCTGGGCAGACAGGCCATGGGACGTGGCATCAGTGATGAACTTGAGACTGATCTACCTTGGAGCAGACAGATCTCGCCAGAGGGGTCTCGGTCAGGAGTGGCAAATTGCCCTCTTGCCACCATTCCCCTGGCCCTACTGTGGCCTAACCTCCTTCCGAACAGCCTTCCAGACCATCTCTGCCAGTCTGTAGGATGGCATATAAATGAGAAGCTCTTTCTCATCCTTGGCCTGCTCTCTCCTCAGCATCATGGCATGTGACTACAAGAAATTAGATCACCAGGGGGCTTTGTCAACGAGCAAGTCATTACTTACAGGCAAAAGGACCCTGGAAATCATGTCTTCTATTCCCCTGCCCCATGCAGGGACCGCCCCGGGAGCAGCTCTGGCAGGTGGTCATCCAGCTGGAATCCAGCTGCTGTTCAGAACGGTGCAGCTGTTTGTGCTAGTCTTGTACTGAGCCGAGGCCTCAGTACAGCCTTCTAAGGTGACAGCGCAAGTCCGATTCCTTTTAAAATTTGTGATATTTGAAGGGAATTATCACATGCTCTAAGTCAGCTCACCTTCAGCCAGAACACCCTTCAGTCATCTTAAAGATAACGTCTCACTCACCCCTACCCATCTTTGGATGTTCATTAACGTGTCACTTCTTCTTCAGCCAGCCAGTATTCGTTCCATGGCAGGCACTGTCCCGAGTGCTGGAGCTCCAGCAGCGCATCAGACAGACCCTTTTGTCTGGAAGAGAATTCAAAGATCTCGTACAATGTGGGTTGGGTTTCGCAGGGCAGCCGTTGGGTGCAGGGGTGTCTGGCTTGGGTTAGGCGAGCTGGCTGACCAAGGCCGGTTTCTCTGGCATGCTTCCATGAACGCGCGTGTTCCCAGTTTATTGAGGGAAGGACAGGGGAGGAGTGGGGCAGGGAGCTGTGAGCGCCAAGATCTCATTTCCTTTTTAAGCTGCTTAACATGCTTTTAGCTCACACTGAGCTTATAGTTAACCAAAACCTTTGGTCTTTCTTCACCTGGACTGCTGCAAAACCTCATCTTTCCCTGTGCCTTTGCCTTTTTAAGCCTAAATGCTGGGCTTGACATTCATTCTTTTGCTGATTTCGTCTTATTGGTTGCAATACACCCTTCTGGCCTTTCAAGTTTACTTAACTCTTGATATGTTGTGCAGAACATGTTTCCCCTGCCCCTTTACTAATCAAGTGTGGAATGAGGTGGAAGAGCCCTGCCAGCGGCCATCCTACAAGGCTGAAATCAGTTCATTTTCAGCCGCGCCTTGGGTGCTACTGTTCATCTGGCTCTGATTTTTCCTAAATGTTCTTTCCTCTAACCCCCAGAGCTCCACCTTGTCCAGAGGATTTTGTGAGCAGCCGTCAAAATCCTTGCTGACTCAAGACACCCAGCGTTTAAGGTTTTCCCCCGATACACCATTCTAATAACCCTGTCAGAACGAGAAATGCTGTGAATTGAGAACAGTACTGGCCCCTGGGATCCACCTCTTTTTCTTCTTAGTGCTTATAGTTCCTTTATTTAATGTGCAGCCCAGAAATTTGCTAGGGTTCATTGTTTAACTTGATGGTTACAATTTTGAGAAATGAGCCCTTCCTTCCTTGACAGGAGCACCAGAACAGAGTGACCTCTGTCCCTCTCCCATTCTCAACCACTGAGGTTGCTTCAGCACCCAGGGAGACATGGCTGAGCTGGGTTCTATAGGCGCTGAAACTCTAGAGTTGGTGGGGGTGGTCTAGGAAGGTTGGACCAGAATATTCGTTGACTCTTCAACACTTTTTTTTTTTTAAAGATTTATTTATGCATACAAGAGCTGGGGTACAGGCCAGAGGTGCAGGGGGTGAGAGGACTCACCAGAGACAGAGTGGGGAACAGAACAAGCAGATTGACGGAAGCACACTGTTGAGGGGAGCAGCGGGCGAGTCAGGAGAGGTCTGCTGTGCCATGTGGGTTGCTCCCTGGCCGGCCAGGGATCGAACTCATGCTGCAGAGGCTGCGGACTGCCTCACAGTGCGGTGCTTAACCCCTTGTGCCACCAGGGAGGCCCGACTCTTCAACTCTTAAGGGAATTTCAGAGTTCCTGGCCCTGTAGTGTCTGGCTCTGGAGACAGTGTGAGCCCTCTGGCATCCACTCTATCCTCCCCACAAACTTTGGATTCTATCTCATTTCTTGTGCACTGACTCCACCATGTGAATGCTGAGCCATGACGGCTGAGCATGAAACATGGTAGTGGTGGAGATAGGGGAGTGATTGGCGCAAGGCAGTGGGCGGACCCTTGTAGTAGCTGATCACGTGCACACGGGACAGAGTGCATAAGGCACATGTGAGGCTTATGGGTTTTATCATTCAGTAACCATACAGGGAGGCCTGCAGGGGCCAGGCACTGTTCTAGGCACTGGGAATACAGTAAGGAACAAAAGCAATGCCCTTCCCCTCCCCCCACCCGTACCCCAACCCTGGAGCATGCATAGGCAAGACACATTAGGTGACTCTGTAGGAGTAGGGGCAGGTACTAGAAAGTGAGAGGCACAATTTTGAATTCTCATTGGGAAGGCTTCCATGGGAGGGCTTGGTGAGCCAGTCATGTGGATGTCTGGGGGCGTGTGACAAGAAGCTGGTGTCACTGGAGCCCATTGATGAGGGGGAGGGAAGTCCATGAGCAGCCAGACTGCAAAGGATCTTGAGGACCATGGTGAGGACTTTGGATTTATTCAGTGAGCCGTCCGCCATATTTTGGGGCAGTTCCTTGTGAACAAGTCTAGGGTTTGAATTTAGGGCCAGCAATGTTGGTCACTCAGTCTCAATGAACTCTGGTGACCACATCTGTAAATAGGTGAATATGTCTGGGTAAGTACTGCCTACTTGCTCTGCTTGAGGCTGTAAACACTGGGAAGCAAGAACCATGTCCCTTCAGGTGGCACCAGTTTGGGACTAGGATGTTGCCGATCCCTCCCCAGATTGGAGAATCCTTATAAATTCCACTTGGATGGTTCCAGAGTCAGCCCTGGCAAGCATGTTTCAAGAGCCCTTGCCCCAGCCCAAACTTTGCCACTAGAAGCAGGAGGCTGCAGTGGTTTTTTTTTCCCTCCATGACAGGATCTCCCAGAGAGTAGAGCTGAGCCGCAGCCAGCTACAGGCCATTGGAGAGAGGGTCTCCTTGGCCCAGGCCAAGATTGAGAAGATCAAGGGCAGCAAGAAGGCCATCAAGGTAAGCCTCTGTGACCCTGTGTCCTAGTGGCTGGTCGGTGATCCCAGAAAGTGCCTTCCCTGCCATCTCCCTGTGCCTCGCGGCGTCCCTGCTTCTGCTACTCAGCCGCACCTCAAACTTTCCTCACCTCAATCCCCAGCTCTAGACTCTCTGGGGCCCCTGAAGATGAGATCTCCCTCACCCTGTGTTTGCAGGTGTTCTCCAGTGCCAAGTACCCAGCTCCTGAGCACCTGCAGGAGTATGGGTCCATCTTCACAGGCGCCCAGGACCCTGGCCTGCAGAGACGCCCCCGCCACAGGATCCAGAGCAAGCACCGTCCCCTGGATGAGCGGGCCCTACAGGTCTGGTGGGCACACAGCTCACATATTTGGGTGATTTGTGGTGACCCTGGAGGGCACGAGGGAGGAACTGAGGGGTCTACTTTAAGCCCTTAAGAGAATCCTCCAAGTGGATTCTGACTGGGATGGGATGGTCACTTTGGCCTGGTGCTGAAATCCACCATCCCTGTCACCTCCCTGATCCTCTAGGAGAAACTGAAGTACTTCCCCGTGTGTGTGAACACCAAGCTGGAGCCTGAGGATGAGGCCGAGGAGGGGCTAGGTGGTCTCCCTAGCAACATCAACTCTGTCAGCTCCTTGCTGCTGTTCAACACCACCGAGAACCTGTAGGCCAGAAGGCGGGGCTGCAGAGGGGCGGGTGGAGGGGGGCGCGGCTCAGAATCAGGTGCAGCACAAGTCTGTAGCTTGGGGAGCCAGTAGCATTTGGTTTGCCATGCAAGGCCTGGGACTCCACAGAAAATGGAACAGATGGATCAGTTGTACAATAGATGATGGATTGCTTGGCCTGCACCATCTCTCTGTAGGTACAAGAAGTATGTCTTCCTGGACCCCCTGGCTGGTGCTGTAACAAAAACTAATGTGATGTTGGGATCAGAGACAGAGGAGAAGCTGTTTGATGCCCCTTTATCTATCAGCAAGAGAGAGCAGCTGGAGCAACAGGTAAGATGAGGCTTGGGAAGTGGGAACCTGTCAGCTCTGTCAGGGTTCTCTGGGCAAGGGTTTGGTGAGCCTCTTACCAGCTCCCACTGACTGCCCCAAGGTCAAACTCATAACCTTGGTAGCTCCCATCCCCACTTAATCCTGCAGGTTCCAGAGAACTATTTCTATGTGCCTGACCTGGGCCAAGTGCCTGAGATCGATGTGCCCTCCTACCTGCCTGACCTGCCAGGCATTGCTGATGACCTCACGTACAGCGCTGACCTGGGCCCTGGCATTGCCCCCTCCGCCCCTGGCACTATTCCAGAGCTGCCTACCTTCCACACAGAGGTTGCCGAGCCTACACGAGGTGAGCTGGGAGCTTAGAGTGGGGCTGGGACCTCACCTACTGGTCCACTCTAGTTATCTCACACTTCCTGTCCTTTGTTTCAGACCTAGAAGATGGGGTGCTAACAGCACCTCCACCCCCACCCCCTCCACCACCACCTCCCCCGGCTCCGGCAGTGCTGGTCAGTGCACCCCCACCTCCACCCCCACCCCAGATCATAGCCTCTTCAGGCCAAGACGCCAGGGAAGATGACAGGGGTGGCGTGTCTTCTTCAGGTAGGAGCAGCATGGAGGGGGGGATATTGACTCTCTTAAAGGGCACGTCTATTTCTGGATCCCTGAGGGATTTTAGGTTTAAGCATTCATAAATACTAGATTTTCAGAACAGTTCTCAAGTCAAATACTTTTTTCCACTGGGAACATAAAATAGTGGTTGTCAAACCATGTCCTTTGAACCCTCGTATTCTAACCTGTGGGGTAGAGGGAATCTGGACAGGTGGGTAGCCCATCCCTACTTAATAGGGAAAGAGGACTGCTAAAAAAACAAACAAAAAAAAAGCAACACCACCACTAAAAGCATTCCGTGTGACCCTAAAATTTTGGATTCCAGTTTGACTGTCTCCCAGTCTATCTTGGCACCCAGAATTGGCACAGAGTCCCTTGTTGGCTAGTGTCAAATTCAGACACTGGGCACACTGACAGCTCATAGGGTCTGCCTCTGCCTCATACATCAACTGGGTGGGGTTGGAGGGACCTGGGCGCCTGGGGACAAAACTTCCTGAGCTCAAGCGGATGCAGTCAGCACCTTCCAGTCCCCAAAGACACTGGCTTCCTCTTTCAAGAGCCCTTCCTCTCTGCCAGGCTGCTGAGGGGAAGCCTCTGGGCCCCCAGAATGTTAGGATGGGTGGGGCCACCCCACAGTCTAGGCCCATCCCAGCAGCCTTTCCTCTTCTCACTCTCCCACCCCAGGTCCAGTCCAGGGTGCTCCTAAGGAAGTGGTTGACCCGTCCAGTGGCCGGGCCACTCTGCTGGAGTCCATCCGCCAGGCTGGCGGCATTGGCAAGGCCAAGCTCCGCAGTGTCAAAGAACGCAAGCTGGAGAAGAAAAAACAGAAGGAGCAGGAACAAGGTGAGGCCCCACTCCACGGAGCCTCTAAAAGGGCCGCCTTTGCCTCTAACCGAGTAGCGCTCTCTGTCATCCCCAGGTGGCAGCCTGCCAGGCCCTGCTTTCCCCAGGGTGTTTGCTGTAAGCACTGGGTGGCCATCCCTGCTGCCATCCTGTCTGGGCCAAGACTTGCTTCCTGGTTTGGGGACCTGCTTAGTGGAACTTTCCTCTCTAAGCTCACCCAGTTGAAACTGCATGAGAATCTCCTTGGAATCTGCTAGCGGCCTAAGGAAATGGTCAGGGACATGGGATCTTTCCAGAGACAGGACAGAGGATTGGCTCAGTCCTGCTTTTGTAAAAAACCTTAAGGCCTTTTTCATAGATTGTCTACTATGAATCCCAAACTTGGCATAAACAAACTCTGGACATAAAGCAACAATACCTTGGAGGTCAACAGGCCTGAAAGAGTCCCAACTCTGTTTCTGAGCTTTGCACTGTGACCCTGGGCAAACTGCCCCCCGCCCCCCTCTGGGCCACATCCATACAATGGGGCTGTTCATACATGCCCAGTCTCACAATGTGGCTGCGATGTTACTCAGCCATTTTCTTATTAGTGCCCCAGGGCGGGGTCTACTGATAGACTAAAGCTCCGAGAACTAGCGGTAGAGGGCTGGGGTGCGCTGATAGGGCGCAAGAACAGAACAGATGTGGCTAAAGCTGAGATTTCACCTCAAGGGCAGATTTCATACATGGCCCATCCACCCTCCCTCACATGGCTTTCTTGTTGCAGTGAGAGCCACCAGCCAGGGCGGGGACCTGATGTCGGATCTCTTTAACAAGTTGGTCATGAGGCGCAAAGGTAGGCGCAGCACTGGCCATTTTCCCAGGGTGGCGTCTCCCGCACTTCCTGTCATATACACAGCCCTTTTCTCCCCGCGTTAAAACCTCTGGGGATTGGGTGAACTTGGGCCCAAATCAACCCTGCTCACCCTCCACCTTTCCCCGTCCAGGTATCTCCGGGAAAGGACCTGGGTCTGGAGCCAGCGAGGGGCCCGGAGGAGCCTTTGCCCGGATGTCAGACTCCATCCCACCCTTGCCTCCCCCACAGCAGCCGTCGGGAGAGGACGACGAGGATGACTGGGAATCCTAGGGGCCCGGGGCCACTTGCCCACAGCCCAGGCTTAGACTTGCCCTCACATGGAAGCAGCCATTGGGCTGGCCCTTCCTCAAGGAGCTGACAGGCTGCCTTCTGAGGCCCGTGGCTGGGTGAGGGCAGCTCTCATACCCTGCCTGTGCTCTACCCCCATCACCAGTGTGCGCCCCTCTTCCCTAAAGAGACCGAGAGGAAACAGTACAAGGCTCAATAAAGAAGTACAACGCAAGGACCAAGCGTATGTTAACAGTGTACTTTCATCAAGGAACTACAGCCGCACGGAACGCACGGTCTCCCCGAAGCCAGGCCGTGCCCTCCCCGCCCGCACTGGGAACAGAATACCAGCAGACCAAGCCCCTTTCCCTGGGTCAGGGAGACGAGAGGTGAGTCACCAGGGACAGCGCTTGTAGGTGGAGGGAGGGTACTGTAACAGAAAAACTGTCCTAGTGACAGACACGGGGTCTCTAAAAATAGTCACGCTGAGTGCCTAATGGCCCTTGGCATAACTGCTGATGTCAAGGGAGGAGGGGTCTTGGCGTCTGCCCAGTGGCTGAGCAGGAAGGGCGGTGCCGCTGATCTGAAGGAGGAGCTGTAGTCAAGCCCAGGAGAGGAAAGGCTGTGGAGCGGGCGGGCCACAGAAGGGAACTGAAGGCAGAAACTCTTCACCAGCTCTGGTTTACAGAGGTAGGAGAGGGGATATGCTCCTGGGCCTAAGAGCCCCATGGACACCAGGGGCGAGAAATGTGGGGGGGGGGGGGGCGGCTTTCTTATTTTCAAGAAAAGAATGAAGTCTAGAACAGCTAAGTTTAGCTACAAAAGGGAGAAGAGGGGAGGCAGGTGGGACCTGCTTCCCCTCCAAGCAGCCAGGTACTGAGAAAGTCAACAAGGACAGGTGGCTGCAGCGTCCACCGCGGCCCATGACGACTGACTCTGTTCAAGGAGGGGAGCACCCTGAGATGAGCCCAAGGGCGGCCAGGACCCAGTGATTCCACTTATGCCTGGGTCCTGGCAGCCCACTGTTTTCAGAAGGAGCCTGGTCTGGAGATTTGCCACTCCACCTGGGTCCTGTAGGCAGGACCCCAACAGATCAGGCCCAAGACAAACTTTTCAGCTGGGCAGAGTGGAGGAGCCGCCTGGCAACTGGGCAGTGGTACGCCCTCAGGAAGCCTGAGCCTTCTCACGATGAAACTGAGGAGACAGGGAAAGATGGTGAGACATCTCGGGAGCGGGGGTCTTTGGGGAAAGGGAAACAGGACCAACCTTCCGTAGAGCAGCAATGGCGTGGCCAAAGTTGGCTTTGACATCTATGCGGTCTCGGATCCAGGCTGGAAGCTTTGCCAGGATTGGTGGGCGGGCATACCGGTGGTCCAGGAGCACTATGCTGGCAAAATCCTTCTGGTGCCTGATGGCCCTGCCTGGACAGAAACAGAATTGGGGTAGAGTTACACCTCCACCACCGTATGTGTCTGCTGTGCCCCTCCCCCGGCTCAGCCCTGAGACCGAGGAGATGGCAAGTAGGATTCCTCTTCCCTGTCACCCTTCTCCAGCCATCCATCTCAGGAGCCGGGAACAGACCCAGGCTTACCTATAGATTGGTTGACAGCCTTCATACAAATATTCTCCATCAAGGACTTCCTTGGGCGGGCCTGCCCTGGGACTCTGGGCTGGAAAGGGCAGAGGAGATGACCCTTAGAATTGTTTTCGTGCCTCCTATCCGAGAAATTGACACTGGCCGGCTCTGGAGCGAGATAGGTAGGCTTCGTGGACACCAGGCCAGCAGCTGATAGGATGGACGGTGTTATGGAGACGCTCGAGGGTCTGTAGAAGCAGCATCCCGTCCCTCCAGAACATGTCACGGGGGAGGGGAAGGCACAGTATGTGGCCTTGGTATCTCAGCCCTACGCGGGACAAGTCTTCCTCCCTACTCCTCACCCTCTGGAGTAACAGGGGTACTCACAAGGGTCTTGTCCAGGTAGGCCATCTTCTCCCGTAGCTCAGGAGACTTGATGTTGGGGTAGGGCATGCCCACCATAACCACACACCTAGGGCAGAGCACACAGTGCGGCTCAGGCTCTCGCTGCCCAGGATGAAGGGCCAGTTGTCATCCTCTGCCACATCTTCCACTCCTCCAACCCCCCTCAAGCTGTACTCTATGATTCCGCCTCTCCCTCTCCACCCAGCACTACCACCTGGAAATTTTTTTCAGCTAAGAGATCCACCTGAAGCCAAGGAATTAAGTCCTAATAAAATTAGGGTCTAATTTTCCACGGGTCTCAGAGTTGCCACACATACCCTTGTAGCTGCCAGCCCCGGGCGGTCTGCCTGGTGCAAAGTCAGAAGTCACCGGCTGCAGGCAGGAGCGCAGCTGCTTGGAGTGAGGAGTGATCAGGTGTCAGGAGCCCCAGGAAGTAAGTCCACCACTTACCGGCCAAGGTTGTCAGAGAAGTTGATGCCTTCACTCATCTTCCCACCAACTACGGAGAGCAGCAGCGCCCCTGTCATCTTCCCTGGCCTCTGGCCACAGCTCTGCAGGAAACACCAGCCCCGGAGTTGCAGACCTTGGATGCCACCCAAAATAGATTCAGCTGCCAGCCCCACACGCTCTCTGAACCCAAAGTCTCAGAGTTATGCTCTCACCTTAATGCACTTGGAATACTCAGTCAGCACCTGCTCCACCTGATTTGCTCTCTTGGGTTCCTGAAATATCTGAAGGCAAGCAGATAAGGTTTCCCAGAAAAGGGTTTCAGGACTCCTGGGTTTCAGGTCTGCTCTCAGCCTTACATTTTTCCAGACGGGGGACCAGAGGATCCATAGTCAGAGGCTCTGGAAAAACCCTCTAGGTACAGTGATCGGGGACTCCAAGTGGCAGGGGAAGAGCGCTCTAAGTCCCACTCGTTAGGCCTAACCATCTGATTTGATGTGTGTGAGAAATCCCAGGAGGAACTTGGTGCCACTGACAGCGGCAGGCTCTAGGGTCACTCACCTTTTTCCTGACAGCCATGCTGCCCAACAGGCCACTCTTCTCCCACTGGGCATGGACCTGGCTTAGGTAGTCATAAGAGGGGAAGAAACAGACCACCCCTCCAGGGACTATGGTGCACAGGTTACAGAGAACTCGGCCCGTTTCATGCATCTAAGGAAGACAAGGAGCCCTCCATGGAGCCATTCCTGAAGCCAAGCCAAGAGGCTTCCTACCCTTCCCATAGGTAACTGTGGCCCGGCAGGAGGCTATGGCCAGGGGGCTCCCCGGAGTGGGAAACCTGCATTGGAATATGCCACCCTTCCTACCAAACCCCAGCCCAGTGACTGGCTGCCTCTGGGTCACCTATCACAGCACGAGCACACCGGAGCCAAAAGCTACTCATAGGTATGTCACTAGGTCCTTCCTCCCTCCAACTTTCAAAGCCCAGGTGGGCAGCTGGGGATTTAAATATACCTATGACTAACTGGGCACTGAAGCCCAGACACCCTAACACCTGCATCCCTGCCCAAGGCAGAAGCCCATATAAGCAAATGGCAAGAGAACCAATGGAATAGGCAGCTTTCTCAGGCGCTCCACCCAAAAAGGATGCCTGGAGTCTTGGGGAGAATTACTTAGCAGCCTAAGGGATGGGAAGAAGCACACACCCTCCCTGATAGACACCTGGCTACCGGTGCTCCTGTGTAGCTCTGATGGGGGACCCCAGTGCCTGCACGCTCAGGAGAAGCAAAATGCTTATTATCCGCACCCCAGAAATGACTCTCCTGTCCTAGCAAAGGCTGCTACTAACCATCTGAGGCAGCTCTCTCGTCTGGTATGTGAATTCCAGCTGCTGGTTGGAGGGTCCATTGGTGAGGATGAGGGGCAGGATATTGCTTGGAGGTATCACATGACCTGGTAAGACCCAGAGAGGAACTGAAAACTGGACAATACCCTGTTCCTCAGGCAGAGTCCACAAAGCACTCCCTAACCCTTGTCTTCTAGACTAAGTAACAACTTACAGCACCACCACTCATTTTCACAAGAAAGATGGGTAATGCTCTGACCGCTACACTCCCTCCTCCACCCCGTCAGAGCTGGAGAGACGCAGCATGAGAGCATGAAGGTAAGTCAGCCCACAGAAAGCAAAGGGTAAGGCTCCCATCATGTGGTCTCCTCAGTCCCTGGGCCTGACGGGCAACCCACTCCACCCCGGCTTGGATCCTCACCACAGGAGAACTCCACCACTCGCTCAGCTTTCACCCCAGCACATGTCAGCAGCTGGTCCCGAAAGTCAGACACCTGCAGACCACAACGTCAAGGCTTTTTGACAGGAACCCCAAGCTTGAGCAGGCAAGGGCCCTGGCAGGGAGGGGATGAAAGAATCACTAGGGAAGACAGACTTGGGCAAGGAGACAGCAAGAACACGAGAACAGAAAAATGAGGTAAAAGGAAAGGATGGCAACAGAGTAACAAAAAATAAAATGTGATGACATCCAGTACTGGCAACCTCATTGACACTATCTGGGAATAGCCAAGGGAATTCGGCAAATATGGCACAGCAGTTCTACTCTGGCCACATGTCAGAATCACCAGAGGGGGTGAATCCTCTCACCTTCCCGCACCTTTGGCCTACACCCCAGCTCTTGTAGGCATAAATATATTTTCAAAAAAAAAATCACGAGGGAGTTAAAAAATATACATACATGGCTAGGCCCCATCCCCAAGCACAGAACAAGAATCTCCAGGAGGGCGGCCTCCCTGGTGGTGTAAGGGGTTAAGGCGCAGCACTATGAAGCTACCCGCAGCCACTGCGGCACAAATTCGATCCCCCATCTGGCCAGGGAGCTACCCACATGGTGCAGCAGACCTCTCCTGACTCACACGCTGCTCCTCTCAGCAGTGTCTTTCAGTCAATCTGCCTGTTCTGCTCCCCACTGTCTCTGGTGAGTCCTCTCACTCCCCTCCCCACACCTCTGGCCTGTACCCCAGTTCTTGGATACATAAATAAATCTTAAAAAAAAAATCTCCAGGGGGAGGACATGTGAATTTGTATTTTTAAATAAAGTTTTCTATTTGCTAGGTGAAAAACCTGTATGTGTGACCACTTTGTGGAGAAACGGGCACTATGACACGTGGCTGGGGACGGACAATACAGCTCCTTCTGGAAGGCAATTTGATAATACCCTAGATTAACATTTATCCTGGCAATTCTGAATCTAGGAGTCTCCCTGAAGACAGAGCTCCATCAACTACCTAACATGCACCGGGGCAGTTTTTGTGAAGTCACTTTTTTTTGTTTTGTTTTTAAAGATTTATTTATGCATACAAGAACTGGGGTACAGGCCAGAGGTGAAGAGAGGCAAGAGGATTCATCAGAGACTGAGTGGGGAACAGAACAGGCAGATCGACTGAAATACACTGCTGAGGGGAGCAGCAAGCAAGTCAGGAGAGGTCTGCTGTACCATGTGAGTCAGCTCCCTGGCTGGGGATCGAACTCTTGCTACAGTAGCCGTGGATAGCTTCATAGTGCTGACAGTTAACCCACTGCGCCACCAGGGAGATCCCTTTTGTGAAGTCATTTGCGATAGGAAGGCTGCCTTTCAAGAGCGGACGGATGAGTAAGCTACATTCCACCCACCAAACAGGACTTGCAGTGCCGCACTGATGCAGCACGATCACCAGGAACAGGGGTAACTAGAAACATTATGCTGCCTTTGACTAAGTGGAAAAGGGGAGGAAATAACAAGAGTTCACACATTTGTTTCTTTTGCGAAAAAATTGAAAAAAAAAAAAAAAAACAATGGAAAGTCAAACCAGGAGCTAATAAAAATGATGACTGTGAGGATGGAGAACAGGATGGACGTGAGATTTTCTAGCTTTATCTTCTTAAACTGTTTTGATATTGAACCATGTACATTTTACATTGTAAAAGAGCTAAGTAAAAAAAATAAAAAGGCAAACACTAAAATGAAAGCAAACTGAAACCAAGAGCCTCACAGTATCAAATTCACAACACAGGTGCACAGAAAAATCCTCACTTCACGTGACTTTATGTCCTTAGTGACCACACATCCTTAGTGGGATACAGGCTAAGGGCAAAGACATGCAGCTTCAGTGAGTACTTTTATGGTCAGAAGTGATATTGGATTGGCTGTGATAGTTTTGAAACTAAGTATACTGTGGGACAGAGCAAAAAAGTAATTAGTTAAAATGCAGCAAGAGGGCCTCCCTGGTGGCGCAAGGGGTTAAGATACAACCTGCGAAGACTGCAGCCACTGCAGCACCAGAAGGGTGTACTGCAACCAATAAGACCAAGTCAACAAAAAAAAAAAAGAATGTCAAGCCCAGCATTAGGCCTAAAAAGGCAAGTGCAGGCCTCCCTGGTGGTGTAAGGGGTTGAGCACAGCACCGTGAAGCTGTCTGCCGCTTCTGCGGCGCGAGTTTGATCCCTGGTCAGGGAGATGCCCACATGGTGAAGCAGACCTCTCCTGACTCGCCCGCTGCTCCCCTCAGCAGTGTATTTCAGTCAGTCTCCCTGTTCTGCTCCCCACTCTGTCTCTGGTGACTCCTCTCACCCCCCCCACCTCTGGCCTGTACCCCAGTTCTTGTATGCATAAATAAATCTTTAATAAAAAAAATACGTGTGTATATTTGAAAAACTATGCAGAGAAAGATTATAATGATATACACCAAAATGAATCTTTTTGCTCATGGAATTATGACCTGTTATTGACCCCATTTTTGCTTGTTGCTACTTTCTACAAAGAAAATACATATAAAATAGAAGTCCCACCTACGCTGCACTCAGGAAGGGAATGGCACTGAGGCACCCAAGTAAGAGCTGAGGCCCTGGGAAGGATTTTCTCCCAGGAGAGTTGGCTCCTGTGGCTATGGAGGCAGTGCCCTCCCACCCTAGTGACCGGCAGTGAGAGAAGACTGCGATGCCACCTGGTGGCCACTGCTTGGTCTGCTCAGGCCAACCCCTTCCTGGTTTGGAGGCCAGAGGAGGGGGAAGAGACCTGCTGTGCATCCTGCCCAATCCTGTCCTGGCAGCAGGACACAGAGGCTGGGCATGGGGTCTCACCGGCTGCATGGTGCCCCCTGCAATGACCACCGCACGGCATTCCTTCACCACCTGCGCGAAGTGCACAGCGGGGTTCAGGAGCAGGAACTTGAGGCTGCTCTGACTGAGGGTGTCTGAAAGAGACAGATAAAAGCTACATGGGGAGGAGGCAGGCAGGGTGCAGCCCAATAAATACTGAGACAATGGGGATCCCCAGTAGGATCCTATTTCATCTCCAGGACCACCTCTGAGGTAGACACTATTACTCTTCACATGAGAAAATAAGTGGAGAGAAGGAAACTGGTCCATGTCATACCACCCATAGGTGACAGCACCAAGACTCAAAGCAGAGCCCACCTCCCCACACCCAGAGGGCTGCACGGCTCCTCCCAGAACCTTGCCTGCGGCCGCCCACTACCCCAGCACCTAGGCAGCAGCCCTCCCACCATCTCTACCTCTTGCCCAGCCACAGGGGGCCAGTGAGCGCTACTTCCTGACTCTTCACCCTCTCCCGGGGAGATGCCAGGATAGCAGCAAAGAATGCTGACACGCCCCCGCTCCTGGTTCCAGGCCAGTCCTCTGTGGGTTACCTTGGTGGCTCAGGATGACCCTGCCATCCTGGTTGGTGGTTGTGAGCGCTGCCAGGAAGCCTTCGATGTGCATCAGCGGGGAAGCAGGCCGTGGCGCCCCAGCCTCTCCCTCCTCTGCAGGGCCCACAGGAGCTGCACAGAGCAGGAGGGAGGCAGAGGCTCTGGGGCCACAGGGAAGGGGGAAGGCCTCCCTGCAGCCAGCCTCCCAGGCTCACCTTCAGTCACCCCAGGTTGCAGGCTCTGCAGGAAGTGCTGAAACCCAGCCAGTCTGGGCTGCTCCCTGGAGGACGTGAGGACCGTGCCGTACCTCTCTGTGAAGCCGAAGAGCTGGAACCGGGGCAAGAGCGAGGGGAGGCATGAGGGCAGCAGCAGTGAGAGGGAAGCGGGGACAAGAGACCTCATTAGGCTTGAGAGCCACAGCTTACGCCTCCCCCCAGCAGCCTGGCAAGTGCCCTGCACCCCAGCAAAGTGGCTCTAGAGAGAAAGGAGTGGAGACAAAGGGGACTGTGGTTTCCAGAGGGCAGGAGAAAGGCCTGGTGAGGGCAGCTAGCAGGGCACGTCCAGATTCCACCCAGGACCCCCAGAAGAGGGGTGTGTACCTTCCTGCTGATCATGCTCTTTTCACAGTAGCGCCGCACCTGCAAAACCAAACCTTCTGTAGGCATGTGGGAAACCTCAGCAAGCTGGGAGAAGAGACCGCCGCCTTCTAAACCCCAGAGAGCACGACCCACCACCACCTCACGCGGAGCCCAGTCCGTGACCAGCCATGTGCAAGCGCCTTTCTGAGGTCACACCTCTCCCGCTGCCCCACACAGCACAGGGCCCTGCAAGGGAGGGACTGCATCCCGCTTCAGGCCTCATCAAAACATCCGACCCTCTCTAAAGGTGCTCAGTGGCAGTTATGTACCCCTCACTGTGACATATCTATACTGGATCTTGAAGGATCAAGTTAGTTTTTAAAAATGCTACAAGTAAAAGCATAGAGGAGGTAAAGCCTGGAGCTTGTCTGGAGTATGTTTCATGGGTATGTACAAAATGAGTAGCTTGGAATGCAAGAGGAGGAGTTTGGAGACTTTCAAGATTTCTGAAAAGAGCTCTAGCTTTCCACTCAGACTCACTATGGCTGCCACTAGGATAATGGACCAAGACGTGGCCCATCCACACTACTCAGCCATAACGATTATGAAACACTGCCATTACAGCAAAACGAAGGCATTCGAGGGAATTGGGTGTAGCAAAGCAAGTCAGAATGACAAATATTGGGCATAATGAGCAAAGTACAATATAAAAACTAGCAGACATTAATTAATGAAGTGACGGTTCTGAAGTTAAAGGGCGGTGTTGGGGTAAATGGGATGTGGAATATTATATAAAATTTTAATTTCTATCTCCGTGCATAATGAGACATTAGGGAAGAAATTTACAAATTAGAAATATTCTCAGGTGATCAAATTTCAGGTGAGTCGTACTCTCTAGTTTATCACAAAGGCACACAGTAATAATCAGTAATAATAACAAAGCCATTTTTATTCTGGGGGAAGACAAACACATTGGGCAATGAGCATTTCCCTTCAAAATAAAAAAAAAAAACTGTACTTCCGGAAGAAATTACACAAATTATACAACATTCTTTGATATTCTACTTGTATTTGTTTCCCAACAGATTAAAGAAAAAAAATGCATGTCTAGCAGGACGGCGCCTGGCACGCGGTGCTCGGTTGATGCTCGCTGGCTAACTGCCCTGATTCACGATCTGTGAAAAAGTGTGGCACAGAGGTTGTGTGGATGTTAAAAAATGAAAAGGAAATTTACTAGATTGCAGGTTGTAGAAGATAGGGGGTGGGGGGAGCCAAGGAGAGCAGGAAGAAGGCAAGAAGCCAAAGGAAGCAGGGAAGCCGCACTGTGGGTTGAGGCAGTGGGACTAGCTTGAGTGCAGGTGGGTGGGCAGGACACTGTGGAGACAGGGCAAGCTGGTCTAAAGAAAAAGGTCAAGCAGAATAGCAAAGAAAGAAAGGGGCCTTCCTGGTGGTGCAAGGGGTTAGGCACCGCACTATGAAGCAATCCACAGCCTCTGCAGCACGAGTTCGATCCCTGGCCGGCCAGGGAGAAATCCACATGGCGAGGCAGACCTCTCCTGTCTCACCCGTTGCTCCCCTCAGCAGTGTATTTCAGATAGTCTGCCTGTTTGCTCCCCAGTCTGTCTCTGGTGGATCCTCTCACCCCCTGAATCTCTGGCCTGTACACCAGCTCCTGTATACGTAAATAATCTTTAAAAAATAAAAATAAGAAAAAAAAGAAAAAGTAAAGAAAGAAGGATTCACACTGGCTCTGCCCCACTCTGCTGACTCATTCCTGTGTGGGCAGCGTCCTTGGAAGGTAACCTCTCTGGCACCTCAGCTTCCTGAGCTTCTGGCTGGTGATGGTACATCCCCCACCTTGGTGTCACAGAACCCGGTCCAGTTTGGAACACAGCAAGTGCTCTGTGTTGCTAGCAAACTCCAGTCACTGAGGTTGTGAGTTATACGATGAAAACTATACCCCAATTCTGGGAAGGCATATATATATAGACCCAAAGCAAGTTATCACCCCGAGGCCAGCAGGGGAGAACGAGAAGGGTCAAGCAGCGTGGCCCTACTGCGTGCTCATCCACTTTGGTCTAATAGCAGGAACATGCTCATGAAATTAACTTCAAAAATCCTGGAGACTGTGCCAGAAGGAAGATGGAGGAAGGCAGAGGACCTGGGGATCCCCACTTGTGCTGATTAGGTATAAGGAAAGGCACCTTTTTCTCAGCCACCCTTAGGACCCTTCAACCAGAGACTGAGGATTGTTTTTCCTGCTGACATGTTCTTTTGTTGAAGGAGTAAGTACTTTCCATATATTTGTAGATCCTCTCAAGTGCTTGAGGACAGAAGTAAATTTGCCTTTTTTGTTTCTTCCATAATCTTAACAGTGTTCTGTCCACAGCCAGTGACAAGAAGGACATTTGATAGGTTGACATTAAAAAGATGAAAACCCTACCTTGAACAGGTTGATGTTGTCTATCTGGCTTTGAAAGAGAAAGTCATTGATGGTCTTCAGCTCTGTCCCTGCGCATGAACAAAGAGCCTTGGAATCCTCACTCTGGAGACTGACTCCCAGGTCCCAGAGGTGAACTCAGGAACTTGTCAAGGCGCCCCTGGCCGTCTGAGGGTAGCCCTCTTACCTGTCTGCGACAGGCTCTGTGTGTTGGGGTTTTGCTTTATATTCCCTAAAAAGGAGAATTCAAATAGGTCAGGATGGTGGGCCTCTGCTCCCCTCCCAACACTACCTTCTCATGACGCTCTGAAGAGCATTTTTTCCCCCTACTTAGAGCACCCACACAGCCAGCCCACAGAGGGGGCAGGAGGGCCAAGGAAGCCTGAGAGTGACCGATGCACATTGCCTGCGGAGCCAAAGCCTTGTGCTCCCAGTCCTGTCACAGCTCCTCCAAGGAGGCATGGGCAGGGCGACCACCCCATTTCATGCAGCAGATGCCCAAGCTACATGCTGATCAGTGGCAAGGCAGGCATGGAAGTAAAGTCCAACAGGAGGCGAAAGCCCTCCAGAAAAAAACCTTCCCTCCTAGCCCAGTTGTCTGAAGCTTCAACTGCTATAAAGTCTTCAAAGGAACTGCCATGTAGGAAAGGAAAGGGATGTGGCACAGACTGGTGCAGAGTCACGTGGGACCCAGGGCAGAACTCCAGTCCCTCTTCCCAAGTTCACCAGCCACAGGCAGGTGACTTCCGTGCTCTGAAGTCCAAGAATGAGGGTCCGCATGCAGGGCTGCTTTCCTTAGCACCCCACAGGACGGTCAGTGTGTACAGACTGCCGTACATTTATGCTGACATCATAGTTTATCACTTTGACCTGGAGCAGGGGCTGGCTAAATAAAAGGATTCAGAATAGGATTCTGAAAAAGGACTTACAGTCAGACTAATTTAACTGAGCTATAAAAATAACTTCCCAAATCGATGGCCATGACAAACTGGAGAACACTGGTGTCTTGACTGACGACCAGGGAAGAGTCTTGTGAACTTAGGGATTTCATTCTGGGCCTAGCTCCTCCAAGCAGGCAGGGGCTTACCACCGAGCACAGTCACAAACTTCTCCAACAGATACAGGATCTGTTTGATGTACATCAGGTTCTTGGCCTTTAGACGCTTCCTGAGGAAAAACCCATGGACATCAAAAGGAAGTACTCCACCAGTAACTTCCCTTTTAATTCCTCCACCCCGAGGCTTTTCTGTTTGGTGTCTCTAAAACTGATCACAAGCTATACTTTCTCCCAGAAAGAAAGGCTAGCTGTGGCCCAAGGCCTTCACCACCAGTTCTGAGCATCCTCGGCTCACGTGGATACACCATGATGAACCATGAGGTGAGTATTATGTTGGTCCACACGAGTTGAACCTGGGTCAGAAAGGGAACCCTAGAGCTTCCTCCCAGAGGCTGACTTGGGGCTGCTGAAGCTGAGTGGAATGTTCCCCCCACCCCTCAGGAGGTACTATCTCACCCATAACGTTCCATATACTGGAGCAGCTGGGAATGGGCCTGGCAGAGCTGGAGAGAGATAAGAGAATGGATGAGAAGGCAGTCTAGGCTCTGGGCATGCCATCAACAGTGTGCCAGTGACATCTCAGATTACACCTAGAAAAGCCAGCCCAGAACACAGTTGGCGATTAAGGCGAGGAAAGCAGGGCTGGTAGAAACAAAGGTTGTGCATCTTAAAGGCCCTGAGGTCAGGGACAAGAGCAAAAGGCTGAACCTCTCAGTTAATTCAATCTCCCTGTAATTCCTTACTGAGTTGGAAAAGATGTCTTGCTGACTCGGAGTGCTAGTTCAAGGTACCATCACATCCTGGGCTAAGACCAACCCAAGCTTTGGTTACTGAAGGGGGACAGAGGGGTTGTCACAGGGGCTTCAGGGTCAGAAATTCAGGTTCACGTTATTTGCTGTGATTCATACACCTATGAATCATCAGGTTCAATGTAAAGTCGGTTACCTGCTCGATGTTATGAAGATGAGAGGCAGAAATAGAAGCAGAGCACCACCGTGAGATGAAAACCCCATGTGGTGCTGTAATAGGCACATTCATAGGTTATAAACAGTAGCTTCCAGAATCTTGAGCATTCCTCAGTTAAATCCCCCAAACCATCATCAATACTAACATCCAGTCACACAAGGACCCGTGCTTCTCTCATGCCACCACCCTGGGCTACGGAGAACGAGTTGGCAGCATCCAGGGCTGGAGGGACTCAAGATGACATAGGCTAGCGAAGAGCAAGGCGATGAGCCACGTGAACTGAGCTGGGTCTCCACAGTTCTCAGATCTACTGGGAAGCCCGAGTTGACCTGGCTGGTCACTGCCTGGCCTCAGTGCAGCCTCAACCAAGCCCCATCTCCAGAGGCATTCCAGGTCCAGGCTCTCAGAGAAGCGAGATCTTGTTGCTCTGCCTCCTGGCAGGTCCCAGCTCAGAGCGGCCAACCTACCTGGGAACCGCTGACCTCGGTGCTGTGGATGCTGGTGATGGTGTCGATCAGGTTGTGTGCCTCGTCGATGATCACCACCTGGCCCTGCAGCCGGATGCCCGCCGCCTGCCGGGTGGCTGCGTGCAGCAGCATCTGGTAGGGCAGCACCACCAGCTGGAGGAGGAGATGCAGCCACCTGAGCAACAAGTTTGCCCAGCCGACTCAAGTTCCTGATGTGAAAAGTTTTACTGCCTGCCCAGAATGTGCAGCGACACTCGAGAGAAAATACAGCACAGTGCTATGCTTCGAGCCACTCTTTCCTTGCAAGTTTTACGTAGATCAAAGTTAAAACAGCAAAACGGTAAAAACTGGAGCCGATCTGGCGTCTGACAGACCCTCGGTGGGGGAAGGGAAGGGGAAGGAAAGTGGAACTACTGGGGTTTAGGCCTGTCCATGCCCCACGGCACCAGTTTCCTCAAACATCATCAAAACTACCAGTTGGCCAGAAAGCAGCCCTGGATTCTGTCCTGAAGTGATTTTCCTAGCCTTGTTTTTCTGGGCAAGTCACTTAACATCTCTCACCATTTCTTCAACTGCAAAATAGGCTCAACATACTATTAAATGAGAGTTCAGGGTAACACAAATGCACCGTGGAAATTTTTTTTAGATGTCGTCTTGATGATTTCCCAGTTGAAAGAATCGTGAGAAAGTAAACATGCAGAAATCTGAAACTTAAGGCCTAGGTTTAGAAACTGGCTCCATTACTCTCTTGTTATGAGAAAACAGAATTCAGTTAACATTTCTGGGCTCCACTGTCCTCATGTGTAGAAAGTAAGTAATACTGCCTTACTAGGACACTATAAGAACAAAATCAAGGTGAAAAGACCTTGAAATATCAGGATCACACAAATTTTCATGACATCTTACTATATTTGCACACAAGTGTCTACTGCACAAGCACTGCACTGTGGCACAGGCCCTGAGAAAGTCATGAGACGACTGTGAGGGCTGGGCAGATCCTGGAATCCTCTGAGTGACCACACACAGCGGCATATTCAGAAGCATCTAACCACCATTAAAATTATAACAGTTCCTTGTATCTTTTTAAGATCTGCTTAAACTTTTTCTTAATTATACAGGATTCTCCACCAATGACCTCCTATTTCCAAAAGCCACACAAATTAAGAAAGTAGCAAGGAAACAGTTAATGCGCACCCACAAAGACAATGCTATCATTTAAAATCTCTTAAATTCAGTTTTTCTATTTAAAGTTAATACTCATTATGGCAAGTCCAGACAAGACTGGAGCTCATGGGCTGCATTAAGTGCTCAAGGCAGGAATAGTCACTCTGAAAGGTCGTATGGCAATGGTCTGCCACTCCCTCACCCACTCCCCATTTCTCCCTGGCATCACTCGTAGGGCACTAGGAACACACATTCCTTCCTGGCTCTTATCTGCTGTCCCCCAATAATGCCAACTGTCCTGCAGCCCAGAGCTACCAAGGGACCTAGGGCCACCTCTGACCCCACATACCTGGAGAGAGGGGTGATGTGCCATTAGTGTGCAGTGTGCCAGCCAGTCCAACCAAGGCTGGTCACCTTTCCCAACTGAAAGGACTAAGGAATCCCTCAGGGCCCAGGCCACAGCAAAGTCAAGAGCTACAGCCGAGCCCTCCAGAGTCTTCACCTGGGCTGCTGGAATGGCAAACCGGCTCCCATAATAGGGGCAGGCCCGGGCCTCCTTCCCCAGGGTCACCAACTGCTCGATGTCCTTCACCTCCACCAGGACCTCGTCTCGGAGGAGCTGCAGCTGCTCGTAGCTGTAGAAGGGGCAGGTGGCACGCTGCTCCTGCCGGCTCCGCTTGGGCTTCTCTACCTCCTCTTCCTCAGCTCTGATCTTGCTTCCTGAGGTGGCACAGGCAGAAGGGGGGCCAGGCAGAGAGAACAGTAACTGTCCACAGGACCAGGTTCTATCCTGTTAAGACCCATTTCCGTGAGGCAGAGCCTATAAAACCTGTCCAAGGAATGCTTCTGGTTCTCTGGTATTTCATTTTGGATTCTCTAGAAAAAGCCCATTTTGGATTCTCTTATCTCAAGGTCAGGATTTTGGATTAGATGCTGACGGAGACTGAGAACTCCTTTTCCCAGGGAGAGGAACTTTAGGAAGGAGCCAGGGTCTGTCTGCTCAGCCATCATTTCCCTGCAAAATGCTGCCTTTACCTCCCCTTCCACCCACAATCTTTCCCACACTGTCCAAGGCTACGGTCTCAGAGGCTCTTCCTACATACATCCCAGTGGAACGGGGGGTACCGTGCTTGCTTCTCTGCATCTCCATGCACCGGTCATTAATGAGCTGCACTGAACCCAAGTTTTTCACATCTTCATTTACACAAAGGTTCTATAAGGCAGAGGGGGAAAAAGGAAGAGTCAGTGGCGCTGGCTGAGTGACATAAATACAATAACCCACCAGGGCTACCCAGCCCAGCCTTCTCCGTTTCCCCAAGACCAGGAAGTTTCAAGGAAAGGACTCCCTACTTCCACCATGGCCTGCCTCAGTGGGACCCACACCTTTCCATGCCTGGAAGAGGAAAGACAGGCCCAGGGCAAGGTGTGAGATGCACCTGGGCAGACACACTTTGCCTCTGTTTACCTGCCGGGAGCCCAGGGAGACAACCCGGGTGTCCTTGCCAAAGGGGCTCTTCTGCACCTCATGCACAAACTGGGCCAGCTGGGAGTGGGTCCGACTGCAGTAATAAATCTGCTCAGAGGAAAAGCAGAGGAGTTCAAAGAGACTAGAACATCTCCAAGTATCTTCTGCACATCACGGCCTAATAGGCTGCGGGAACGGGGAGAACAGGCACAAATACCCACGTCAAGAGCGCTCTCTCCCATGAGCCTCTCAGCGGGTGGGGGTGCAGGGACTCGCCCCGCACCCACAGCTTCAGAAGTTCAAGAGAACACCCACAAGATGGGTCTCCTTGCATCAGTCATGCTCAGCTTCCCATCTACCCTCTTTGGGGAACATGCCCATCTTAGGAAAGGGTATTTCCCCTGAATGTTGGTCTTGATATGGAAAATATTCCAAAGATTCTGAGCAATGAGGAGGGTTACTCTATACACACCCCCCAAGGGCTTGGAGGAGGCTAAGCTGAACAGGAAAAAAAACAAAAACAAAAAAGGAGAAAATAGCTAATTTTAACAGAGAAAATAAGTCTTGTGTGAATGAAACCACATTTTTAAACTTAAGAAGTGTCGGAACCACACATACCTCAGTGCACGCCATGTAAATGGAAACACAGGAGAAGAACACGCCAGCCAAGATCCAGGAGCGGAGCACTCCTGCTCACCTCCGCCCAGCCCAAGGGAGGCAGAAACCATGGGACCCTGCCCCAAGCCAGCTGCTCCTTGAGGCCCTGGGCACACAGCCCAAGTTTCACCCTCAAGAGATCTCCCCAGGTACCCACCCAACCTGCCAAATGAGCACCTAGAGACTAAGGTCTGAGTATGGGAGACTGTGGGTTGAAGGCCTTTCTTTGACAGGAGAGTGGCGAACAGCTGGAGGGATGCATTGTCCCAAGTGCGAAGAGAACAGCACAACAAGGTCATAGCATCTTACCTTAGTTACATGCTCTTCCTCCAGGTCATCCTCATCCTCATCCACTCTGCAGAAAACAGAAGAAAGTCTTCTCAGTGATCTCAAGTCAACTAAAAAAAACATTTACTGAGCATCCACTACATGCCGGATACCAGGCCTGGACATGAACCAGGAAGAAGTCTCTCCCCTCAGAGGTCAACAACTGAGCCAAGCAGGAGACAGGCAGACACAACCAGAGATAAGGTTTCACCCAAGCAGGAGCTGAGTCCCCGCCCCCAACCATCAAATAACACCCCCACCCTCTGCTGTTGCCTAAGCAAAAGAAAGGGGTGCAGGATGTGCAAAGCCCAGGTTCAATGTTTGTTGGGCATCAAGGGCTACTGTCCACCCTCCAGCTAGGAGGGTGAACTTCCCAGTTTTCCATGACAAAGTGGCTCTTTATCATCTCAGCCGTGGACGTGCCATTCCCTGTGCCCAGAATGCGCTCTCCCTATCTCCCCACCCCACCTCCTCCCTTCACCGAGCCCACTTCTAGTCAGCCTGCTCTGCCCTCTGTGACCACCCCTGGTAGGCTGGCTGGCTGGCGACACATTGCCACGGCCCCTGCTCTTTGGATACCCAATCTCATTCAGGATTGTTTTCTGTCTTGCCCACCAGGCCACATGTCTACAGACAGGAATGGATGTGCCTTATTTCTGCAGAGCGCGGGGTCCAACTCAGCCAAGCATGAGGCAAAGCTTCAGGTTCATGTCCTGAGTGACACTGTACCCGGTGAGCGAGTAAACATGCTGTTGATCCTACCCAGGTACATCCCTTTCCCCATGGTGCCTCAGTGTCCTCCCCAGCGATGTGAATTCAGAGCCCATCAGCACGGGGGGCGGGGAGGAAGGTCAGCCCTGCATTTCACGGCTGTATGTTTAGTCAACCTTAGTCTAGACTCCTTAGAAAACACATAATCTTTCACATGAACATCACGAGTTTTCCTGTTCTCCAAGAAATTTAAGTAAAAATGCTAATTACCATGGTCTATTAGAGTTATTTAAGGTTGGTTTCCTCGTCAGTAAAGTGAGCCTGGACTGAAATCACATGCCACGTGGTGCACAAAGTCAGCAGGAGCCAGGTGAGTAGCTGGATGTGTGATGAAATGAAGAGTAAAAACTTTATATTCAGAACCGGTCATGTCCTCAGAGAGGATCATGCCTCTCAAAATTGGAAGCCATCAGATGGAATGGAAGCTAATTTGCAGGATTAATGGCTCTGGCCTGAACCCTCAGGAGCACCTTGTTTCTCCAACATTGTCCATCTCCATTCAAGTTCACTACCCCTGTGCCCAGAGGGCTCTGGGGAAAAGGCAGAAGAGTGGCCAAGCAATCCTGGAGGCAGGCAGGGGAGGGCTGACAAAGTACTCATACTGTCCAGAGCAGGAGGAACAAAACAGTCTAATCTCAGCCCTGGGAAGGGTCTGCAGTTCTGGTCTCAGTCCAGAAATCTGTGGTTAGGGGCAGGATTCCAAGCCCCCGCCCACCAGAGAGGCCACTCCTCTTCCCTCTGGATCCTGCAAAGCACTTCAGTGAAAGAAGACGAGGCAGGAGGTGATTTATGGAGGGTGAAAAACACTCATGACACAAACCTTTATCACTGTGGCCCATTTTTTTCTTCTAAAAAGTTTTAAATGAATATAGAAGTCTCCCAATTATCACTGCTGCGGGGCTTGAAGACCATGCTCCTCACCTTGGCTGTTAGTGGGAGGACGAAAAGTGAAATGGCCAAAAGCTGTAAAAGATACTGGGAATCTATCTTGGTAGTTCTGAAAATTTTTTGCATGAATTGGGATAGTGGTCACAGATCTGCCAGTAAAATGAAAATCATATTACCACTAAAATGCACCAACTACTCTAACTTTTATAAATAATTTCACAAGGGGCCTCCCTGGTGGTGCAGGGGTTAAGTCTCAGAGCTATCAAGCTATCACCAACCACTGTGGCATGAGTTCCATCCCTAGCCAGGGAGCTGACCCACATGGCACAACAGACGTCTCCTGTCTGCTCCCCTCAGCAGTGTGTTTCACTAGATCTACCTGTTCTGCTCCCCACTGTGTCTCTGGTGAATCCTCTCATCACACCCCTGCCCTGCCCTGGTACCTCTGGCCTATACCCCAGTCCTTATATGCATAACATAAAATCTTTTTTTAAAAAATTATATTTTGGGGCCTCCCCGGTGGCGCAGCTGTTGAGCGCTGGGTTGCGAAGCTGCCCGCAGCCTCTGCAGCGCCGGTTAGATCCCCGGCTGCTCCCCGGCCACCAGGCGAGGGTCCCATATGGTGCGCAGACCTCTCCTGCCACCGCTGCTCCCCTCGGCAGTGTACTTCGGTCCTTCTGCCTGCTCTGCTCCCCACTCTGTCTCTGGTTAATTCTCTCACCCTCTTGCGCTTCTGACTGTACCCAGTATTTGTATAAATAAATAAGTAAATAAATACATAAATCTTAAAAAAAAATTATATTTTGGCAGTTAATTTACAAAGTACCAAGACTATACTATGAGAAAGGACAGTCTTCAATAAATCATGTTGGGAAAACTGGACAATTTCATGCAAAAGAATGAACACTGGATCACCATCTTACACCACACACATAAATCAACTCAAAATAGATTGAAGGCTTAATGTAAGACCCGAAATCATAAAAATAGGGTTACTAGGTTCCCAGGCATCAGTCCTGGTGGTGATTTTTTGGCTATGATAACAAATACACAAGCAACAATAAACAAGGGGGACTGTAGCAATGGACACACCAACAAAATGAAAAGGCAACCTATGAAATGGGAGAAAATATTTGCAAAAACCATTTATCTGATAAGGAGTTAATATTCAAAATATGTAAAAACTCTTACAACTGAATAGCAAAAAACCCCAAATAATCTGCTTTAAAAATGGGCAAAGGAATTGAATAGACATCTTTTCAAATATATTCAAATGACCAAAAGATACATGAATAGGTATTCAATATCCCTAATCATTAGGGAAATGCCAATCAAACCACAGTGAGGTATCACTTCACACCTGTTGGGATAGCTGCTAAAAATAGAAGAGATCTAAGGCCTCCCCGGTGGTGCAGCAGTTGAGTGCTGGCTGCGAAGCTGCCCGCAGCCTCTGCAGTGCCGGTTCGATCCCTGGCTACCAGTGAGGGTCCCACATGGCGCGCAGACCTCTCCTGCCGCCCGCTGCTCCCCTCAGCAGTGTATTTCATCAGTCTGCCTGTTCTGTTCTCTGCTCTGGCTCTGGTGAATTCTCTCACCCTCCCGTGCTTCTGACTGTACCCTGTGCTTGTATAAATAAATAAATCTTTAAAAAAAAAAAAGATGAGATCCAGGAGGGGAGGTGGAGAAAGGGAACCTGTGTGCACCATCTGGAAGACAGCATGAAGGTTTCTCAACATTTACTTTAAATTAACACATGATCCAGCTATCCCACTCCTGGGTATAGATATATCCAAAGGAAATTATATCATTATCTCAGAGATCCCTGCACCCCTATGGTCACAGCAGCATTATTCACAATAGGTAAGCTGTGGAAACAACCTAAGTGTTTGTTGACTAATGGACAAGGACACGGAGACAGAAACACACACACACATTATTGAGACATAAAAAGAAATTCTGACATAAGTGGCAATACAGATGAACCCTAAAGGCATTATGCCAAGTAAAATAAGTCAAAAAAAGGCAAATACTGTATGATCCCATATGTGGAATTCAAAAAAAAAAAAAAAAATACCCAAAGAATTAAGGAGTAGGAGAAATCGGTGATTGTGGTCAAAAGGGACATTTTTACTATATGAATAAATTATGAGGGTCTAATGTCCAGCATGGTAACTGGTGAAAAATATCCTATCATATACCTGAAAGATGAGCAGATCTTTAATATCCTCACCACACACATGTACATTAACTAAGTGAGGCAATGGATGTGTAAACGAGCCTCACCAACAGTCACCATTTTGCAGTATACATAAATCAAAGCATGACGCCATCCACCTGACATTCACAATGCATGTCCACATATCTCAATAAAACTGGAAGAGAAAGTCAGGGAATGAGACCGCTGGGTGGCCGAGGTGAAGTCAGAAGGTGCATTGCAGCCACCCTGTGACGGAGCATAGATTCACCAGAGGTGGGCTTCTGGGAGCTATGCTCAGACTGTCCCAGTGACCACAGTGTCACCAACAATGTGGGACAAGTGCGACCTTTGGTACCCATGAGAGCAACAGAAGACCTCTGCCAAGGTGGGGCCCAAAAAGGGATGGCTCTACAGGCACATCCATGCCTTTGGGGAAGAGCCACTTAACTTCAGGCCCTTCCAATGCCCAAACGGGTTCCCTTCCTTTAAACTTCCCACCATTTGCTAATGTATGGAGAACAACATCCCAACCTGTCAGTGGCTTATGAGGCCTGAAGAAACTGACATCCACCTTGTCTCCTGCTTCTCTCTTCTTCAGTCTTTGGCATCTGAGCCCCTTCCGGTTCCTTGAACACACAAAGCCTATTTCCATCCCCACACACCATGCTCCAGTCCCTGACAAGCACGGCTCTTGCTCAATCTTCAGATCTTGCTCCAAAGTCACCTCCTGACTACTCCACCTGGAGATGCCCCTTTGTCCTGTCCTGTTTTCCTCTTAGGTAAATGTGCTCATTTCAAATAAGGACTCAGTTTTCACATGTATTGTCCATCTCCCTCCACCAAGCGCAAGCCCCCCTGAGGCACTTCATGTCTGTCTTAATTCATTTAGTTCAATAGCTTCAGGGTCTAAACTGTGCTACACCCAGATCAAACTCTCAGAGGGCACCAGGGAAATCAAAGTCGGAATAAAAGAGGAGGATCTCATGAGGGACAGGGTGGTCATGAAGGTACTACTTGTTATCTTGACTATTTCCTAGTGAGTAGCTCCGAAATGAGAAGCCTGTGACCCTGGATCAACATCAGCCTATGGTAAAAAGAAAACCACAGGTTAAGGGTACTTGGTCTTTGTCATAAATGCTACACAGTGTGGCCAGGTAGCTAAGAGCTTGAGATCTAGAGCCCGATCTGCTGGTTCACGTGCCAGCTCCTGGGCTTCCTCGCCTGGTGGCCTCGGCCAGGCATTCCACCTTGCTGGGCTGTAGCTGCCTCACGTGGCATGTAGACACACTGTCGTGAAGCTAAGGTGTTAACACATGTGCAGCCAGAGGCTGGCAGAGAAGGGCTGCCAGTGTCACTGATGTGTCTCAGGAGAAGCCTGGCTGAGAGAGGGGCAGGTGGCTGGCAGGCCATCCCTTCCAATGCCTGTGACAAAGTCAGCCTCTCAGAGCATGAGGAAGAAGCTGTTTCTTAGGAGCCCTGAGTAGAACTGGGCAGGGGTAGTGGGTAGAGCAGAAGCACGCCTCACCCACTAGCTGCTCCCTTCTCTTCGTCACTCTCATACTCGGCAAGGACCAGCTCCTCCTCCCCAGACGCCAGCTGCTCCAGCTGCTCGGCCCCTGTTCCTGCGGCCAGCATCTCCTTGCTGAGGCGGAGGAGACGCTCAGTCTCTTCTTCTTCCTGTCTCTTTACAGGGGTATTGCAGATGGGAAAAGACAAAGAAACCTTAGTTCTGGTGTCCCCTCCTTAACCAACTCAGCTGCACTATGGCTGTCACCAAGGATAATGTACACACCACATGCTAGTAAGCCTCACTGGTAGCTACACCCCAAGTGTTCAGTTCCAGCTCCTCCACTGCGGGGTGATGAGAACTTAGCCAGTAGGGATCAGGAAGACACTGAGGTGCTGGCCACTCAAAGGAGCTCCACCATGATGCCTAAGGACAATGACAGTGCCTGGACACCACCCAGGTCACTCCAGAAGACACTCACCACGCGCTTGGCTGCATACTTGAGCTGCGCGTTGTGGCGGATCTGCTGCAGGCGCTCTTCTCGCTTCTTCCTCTTGACCTGCTCCTCCTAAAGAGGGAAGGAGCCACAGAGGAAACTCCTGCAGGGAGCCCCACAACTGGCCTTTCACAAAGCACCTGGGCTGCTCAGTCACCTGGCTTTTCAACCAGGCAGGTCTCCCTTCAACAGCCAACACTCAAGATTGCTGCCACAGCCGCCTGAGCCTCGCCCTCACTGCCATTAGTTTGTACTCTCTCCTGAAACCACACGTTCTCAGTGACATCCATTCCTAATTGAGCTTGCAGCTGCTGAACCGTGTTGCCAATGGCAACAGTGGGGTTCCTTTCCCAGGTGGGTAATGAATGGAATCTGCCACCTCCGTCTAGAGAAAGCCTATTGATATCAGCTTTAAAAAGACAGCAAGGGCAGAGCACCATTGACTCAAGAGACGCAAAGAGGCACTGCCAGGGCAGAGAACACTGACAACTGAATCTCAAAAATCAGCCCACAATAACCATGTGAGCCCAACTTCCTGGATCCACTCCCACCCCTGGTTATCCTAGACCTCACCCTGAGTCGGTCCACCAAATCCCGTTCTTCTTTCTTCTGCACAAATTGAGTGACCCAATCGGGTTCTCCAGCAGGCTTCAGAGGGCCTGGGCTCTCTTGGCAGGAAGCAGAGAGAAGGGGGGACTGGTCCTTCCCATCAGTTAAGGGGACAGTTCCCGCTTCAAGGAGACGTGCCTCCTCTTGACGCTTCTTCTGCTCAAAGTCTCGAAGCCAGGAGAGGGCCCCACAAATGATACTCAAAGATTTTCCCTAAAGGAGGAAAATGTTTTCAGAAATAGAACACAAAAAACAAAGCTTTCCAAATGACTCAAATGGAATACCATTTTAATAGAGTCTTCAGGAAAGATGTGACTTTAAATATCAGAGGGTAAGACCAGTCTGGGAAGGAATCAGCACGAGAGTTAACTAGGAGAAATGAACACAAATACAGTTCTTCATTTAATTACACAGCTCACAGCGCCTAAAATAATTCCAAAGAGGCCTACCAAGTTAGATATTAAGTACTGCAAGTTACCATAATGTAATTAGAAGGTGAGAAATTAAATAGCCCTCCCCCCAAACAATTAAGGCCATACTTAAGAGCACAAATCCCACATACTTGCTAAGGGGGAGCCATGTGTAGCTGAGCATTGGTGCAGCCAAGGAGCAGACCCACTGATCCCATGAGTCCCAGAGTTAAAACCTCTTAAAAGCAAGCCACCTGCTCTGAAAACTACACCCTTGATTTAGAGACCAGAATTTTCCCTGTGGGTCCTCGTTATGGTTTGCCTGGTGCTCCCCAATTCATGGTATAGTCCTAATCCCTAGTTTTTCAGAATGTGATCTCATTCAGAAATAGGGTGACTGCGGATGTATTTAGTTAAGAGGTGAGGGGCGCCTGGGCAAGGCAGGCTGCTGAGCCAAATCTCACACTTACCAGGGCTGTCATCTTACAGTGACCTCTCTAGGCTTGTTTCCACAGCAACAAAACGGGTAAGGCAACAGTGCCATCCTCATATTGTTGCCACAAGCACTAAATTAATCCTCATTAAGCTTAATACTTACACCAGGATTAGAATACCTGGTACATAAATGAGCAATTAAAACTAGCTCCTCTTATGGTATTAAGAAAAAATATTAATATTATCCTGGGATGAGGAGGCCTGTGACAAAGGGCACTTCTAAAGAACGAATGGATCACATATCTTTAAAGGCTTCATATACACCATTTCTTTTAGCCTTTCATAAATACTGAGTGGCAAAGACCGCACTCCCCAGAAGAATTTGGGGGGACAGCCGATCTATGCTGCCAATGAAAAGGGAAGTCACTGGCTAAACTGTCACCGAGTCAGGGGCAGAGACATGCCCCGTAACAAAGGCCCAAGGACAGACACCTGGTTCGAGAGGGGGCACCCTCTTGAAAGCAAGCTGAGGGGCCTCCTGGTGATACAGAGGTTAAAGTCTCAGGGGTATCAACCTATCACCAGCCACTGTGGCATGTGTTCAATCCCCAGCCAGGGAGCTATCCCACATGGCATAGACCTCTCCTGTCTCACCCGCTGCTTCCCTCAGGAGTCTATTTCAGTCAATCCACCCATTCTGCTCCCCACTCTGTCCCTGGTGAATCCCTTCACTCCCCGCCACCTCTGGCCTACACCCCAGCTCTTGTATGCATAAAAAAAAGAGAGTTAAAAAAAGTTCCTAAGGATATAGTCAAAGTTATCTTCCAAAACCAAAGGTGGGTACTAGTTAACATGAGGGATAAGGTTATCTGAGGCCATGCAGTTCTATATCCTGTAATACGTAGGACCACAAAAGTTTTAGAGCAGAAAACGTTAAAAAGATGTATAAACGAAATGCTCATCACAGTTATGAAATGAAGTATCCACAATATACCTAGCTCTGAGCAATGTTATTTCTTGGGATACCATTCCAGATTACAGTTATAAGATCCATGCCTAGAAAAGTAAATTCATTCCTTCTACACATTATAGTAGGACAGGGTTTGATGCTGGTAACACAGAAGCAGGTGGAGTGCCCTAGAAAATGCCCACCAACATAAACTTCACACACAACCTAACAGGCATCAGTCACTGCAAAACTTGGGCTCCAGGCTTAAGGACGCCCAAAACTACCATATTACACAAGTTTATGCAGCAGGCATAAAGGCCAGAGGTCAACTCAGTGTGGTGGATTCCTGAAAGGTTTCAAAATGATGACTTTTAAAGGGAAAACAGGCCTTATCAGGCAGTAAAGGGGAGAAATCTGGGCAGCTAAGGCAAGAGGACCAGCAGGTGAGGTGTGGCACATCATGAGAACTCCACTCAGGACATAAGATGGCATGGCATTGCCTGTAGGCAATGGGCATCAGTGGCAGGGAAGAGCTCTCCTAGGGGTATGGCTAGAAGACATCAGTGCAAAAAGCAACAAGTACACAGCAGCGGGGAGGAGGCCACATCAACAATGAAGGGCTGAGTGGAAGACAAAGACATGTGGATTGCGCAGAGGACTGAAATGGACAACCTGAGAGGGAGGGCGGAGAGGGTCCCTCAGATTAAACAAGGGGGAATAAACAAACACTCATTCTTCTGTGTTCTTTTTCAAAACACACTACAATTACACCAAAAAGGTTCATACCCACACCCCCCAAAAAAGTGGAAGCAGAGACAAAAACAAGTTGTAAGAGAAATGGGACATACAGGAATAGAACTGCCTGCCGTGACCTCCCCTCAGAAACACCCAGAAACCAGCAGAAATGTGACATGGTGCTGAAAACAAAGGGACTGGCTGAAATTCTTTAAAAGAATTAGATCCCTAGTTTGCAGTCCCCAATCCTCACAGAAGACAGGAAGTTTATAATGTAATAAATATATAGATATTAAAATATAAAAAGACAGGAAGTTTATTCTTGGGAGAAGACAAGCCAGGGTCTTAGAGACAGAAGGCTGAGTGAAGAGTGGAAAAAGAGGGCCAGGTTGAAAGCAGAGCATTAAGCAAAAGACTGCACCCCTAAAACCACTTCCCAAGATGCATTGGGGAATACTGGCTATCAGGCCTGACTCATAGGCAGAACTGCAAAGCTTTCTCTGGAAAACTAAATGGCTCCAGGGAAACTCCTATAGTGCAAGAGAGAAGTGGGAACAGTTGACTGTAACCCTGCTCATCCTCAAAGGACAATCTCCAATAAATCTCTCCCTGTCCCAGACCAGGAAAAAAAAAATTTAGTGGGCCCTGACAGGATCCCTCCAGCACTCACTAACCTCGTTCCTGAAGACTAAACCAATGTTTAGTCTATAAAAAAAGCCAAAGTAATTTTTATGTTTCTCAACATCAAAGCAACTGTGTGACCAAGAAATCTGGAAAGTTTCCATGGTTTCCAGTGCCATTTAAATTCTCCTCTGCCTTCAGCCTAATTTTTCTCATGTCCTGGAGCCGTGTTTAACAATTTCATAGAGGTGAAAGAACTGCTCTGCCCAACTTCAAACCATAAAAATAAAATCTCTGCAGAGGCAAATAAGTATGCAAGGCTGCCTCTGAGCCGTAATGATCAGGGTCTCCAAGGGCCCTTAGGCCCCAACTACTCATACTCACAGTGCCAGTAGGACTCTCAAATATCCCAATCTTGCCAGTCTCCAACACCTGGTATAGCGCTGTCATGAAGTCTTTTTGGATGGAATAGGGCGTGAAGGGAAAAGGGAAATGAATGTCACCGGCCTCCTTGGTTTTATCAGCCATGGTCCTAGGGAGAAAAAAAAAAAATCTGGTAACTGAATAGCCAAGAAGTATTGGCTTGAAATCTACAACTGCTCAATACTAATTATAGAATTTCTCCTTAGGTTGTTGGCTTTTTTCCCCAAGCAGAGACCATAACGTGGGTATCTTCATGAAGTTTTATGAAAAGCGCGTGATCTACCTAGCAACATTTATCAGAAAGGAATAAAAATGGCGTAGGGGAGCCCATGAACAGAGCCCCCGAACACTTCACCTGGACTGCCTTGGCTGCTTAGACACGTTTCAAATGCCTCTCTACGAAGACAAAGACTTCCTCCTGAAGACTTATACGAGATCAAGGATGGAGCTCATAGTTCCTTCTGCAGCATTCTTCGCTCAGTGCTCTGCAATGCAGCAGCCACATGGAAAACTGTTCTAACTTTATCCTGTTGTGTGGCGACACCTAGTCAAATCATGACACACAGGCAGATGTACAAGTACAGCTTTTTTCCCTGGCACAAGTTAACACCTACTTCCCTACTTTACATGTATCTTTCAGTCACGTCTCAGTTCATCCTACCTTTCATCTCCAGTCAAACCAGAGTCACTTCCTAGAAATTTTCTGGCCTCAAGAAATAAGAGCCTACTGGCTGGTTCCAGTCTCTTTATGGTAACTAAGCCCTGGCTGGAAGAGCGTCTCAATACCAAGACCACAGTATTTCTGTCCTTGCTAGCCTAGGTCTAAGCAAAACAACTTTGCTCCATGTTTATTTCATCTTTTTCTCCTCTTGTGAACCTCTCTAATAGCTTTAACACACCCTTTCTTCCTCTAATCACCATTTGGAGAATTATTTCCTCCTTCCTGACTCCCACACCTATCTTTGGAAGTCCCTGCCCCAAGCAAGTAGGGAGGCCCACCCCTTTTAATGTTAATACTAGAAATATTACAATTATTAATAAATCTCAAAACATTTGCGTGGTGCCTCTACCACTTGGGGCCTCTGCACCTGTGTTTGAAAGAACTGGATAAAGCACTCCTGCGTGACTGCCTAAGACAATGGCCCACATCATGAGGCAGTCGGGGACTCCTAGGTAGCCACTGACTGATTCTGTGGCCATGGTGTGAGGTGGTCTGGAAGTGGCTCAGAAATTACACCAAGCACCTGCACAGAAGTCCTCCCTATATACGTGGCCGACATGTCCCCTCCTGTTCCCCACAAAAGTTGATTGCCCTTTGTCTCCCCTGGACCCTGCTCCTCCTGCCATTGTCCCATCATCAATCATGCTTGTTCATTACTGCTAATAGGAAGAGGGCTGCCTCTTGCCTTGCAAACCTGCTTCATGACTTGTCCTATGGCTTGTGCATGCCCAACCACCAGACATTTGCATCCTACATACATGGCCTCAATAAGGGTAGTGATGGTGTCAACTGTTTATGAGGGGAAGGTAGCTGTTATGATGTTCCTCCGGTTACACATTAGGGGAATAGTTAAATGACTAGTTAAATGACTAGGAGTAGAAGGGTAACCACAGTAAGGGTTATTCAAAAACTAGGACAACTTGGGCCTCCCTGGTGGCTCAGGGGTTAAAGTCTCAGTGCTATTAATCTATCGCCTGCCACTGCAGCATGAGTTCAATCCCGGCTAGGAGGCTAACCCACATGGCACAGCAGACCTCACCTGTCTCGCCCACTGCTCCCCTCGGCAGTGTATTTCAGAAGATCCGCCTGTTCTGCTCCCCACTGTCTCTGGTTAACACACACACACCCTGGCCTGTACTCTAATTCTTGTATGCATAAATAAATAAATCATTAAAAAAAATTAGTCTTTAAAAAACAAAACCAGGACAACTCAATATTAAGAGGGAGAAATCAGAAAATGGTTAAAGCATGAAGGAAATCATAAGAAAGGTCTCTAACAAATTCTGAGCACTACTATGTGTTTAATACTCTTCAGGCCCTTTTATTTCCATTAACTCAATCTACAACTCCGTGCAACATGGGATGGATACCACGATGCTTACAGAAATTAGATAGTTGTTCAAAGTCACAACTACTCAGAGGGAAATCAGGGATCCAAGCCCAGGTCCATATGGCTCTGTTTCAGTCAAATTCATCAGGTTGCAAAAGATACGAGCATTATAGCAAAAGGGAGATTGAAAAAAACACTCAATTCTTAATCTCTCAGTATCTGGGAAAACCAAGAAGAGAAGCCACTGAAAGGGAGGACCTGCTGCGGACAGGAGCGACAAGCAATCCGATCTCAACACAGCATCAGGAATGTCACCAACACGTCAGCACCCTGACACTGTCATTCTTCTGTTCAGTCACAGTCACATGGGCAGCCACTGACTCACTCTGTTCACCTATGGCTTCTGCTCACTCACAATGTCAGGCTGCACATGGCTTCTTCAGCCTCCTCTACTTTTTAGTTTCAACTCCCACTGCCAAGTGAAAACTGAAAATTTTTGTCACATTTAATTCTAAATTCCAAGAGAAAAATCTGATCTCATCTCCTTTCAAGATAAATTACTTGTAAGCCTACAGATGATAGGTGAGATGCCCAGGCAGACCTAATCTGATATTGGCTCCCAGGACCCCTGCAACCTGGGGAATGAGGAGTCCTCAGTATTTAGGACTTGGCTCACCTCAAAGAAGCTTCTCCATCTATATGGTTGTCCTATAGCGGTCAAATGCCATCCTCCATCTCACTCCCCACCCACACAACCACACACTGCCCTGCATTAAGTCACTCTTGCTGAAATCAGGATTTGAACCCACCTCTACAGAATCTCTAAGCCCCTAAGCTTTACAGTTCATCACTCTTCCTCCCACCAGGATGAGTAGGGCGGCAAGAAAGACTTGGTTACCAAACTTTAGAATGACAACATGAAACAATACGGAACAAAAGTAATTATTATTTCACTTCCCCGTGGGTGGTAATTACGGATCTCATTATTCCAGAAGCAGCACAAGCTAAATCATAAGTGAAAGTAGGGTTTAGATAAATCCATGAATAATGGATTCACTAAGCACAGTGAAGGATGTTTCAAACAAGTTTCTGACCCCTTCAGGTGTGCAGGTTGGCTGCACAAATGGCACCCTGACCTCCCACTAAGTCCTCCCTAGACTTCCCCACCACTACTAAGGAACACACCAGCACAGCAACTCACATGCTCATTAAGTAAGGTACATGCAAGTTCTGTAAGTGTTCATTTTCTCCAGTCTCCAATTATCACTTGTTATTAATTGGGTATATACACTACTGCCACACACTTAACTATGTCTCCCCCAAAATTCATGTGTTAAAGCCCTAATCCCCCACGGGAGACTAATTGCAGACAGAGCTTTTAGGTCATTAAGGTTAAATAAAGTCATAATGACACTGCCGGTGTGATCTGTTAATTTAGCCCTTAATCCACCACAGGTTCTTGAACCACGAAGCAGTGAAAAGGAATTCACATTTTACATTAAGCAAGCAGAGAGAAACAAACTATGTTTAAGAAGGTAAAGAAGGGCCTCCCCTGGTGGCGCAGCGGTTGAGCACTGGGGTTGAGCGCTGGGCTGCGAGGCTGCCCACAGCCTCTGCAGCACCGGTTCGTTCCCCTGCTGCTGGCGAGGGTCCCACCAAAAAAAAAAAAAAGGTAAAGAAAAGTTTATTTAGGAAAAAAAAAAGAAAGAAACGTTTAATTTAAAGGAAGAAAGTAAAGACTCCCAACTATGCTGTACCTGGGAGGGGAAGAAGCGTTGTGGGCCGTGTCTAGGGGTATTTAAACCTTTTTTTCCTGTAAACTCTGGTCATTCCCTTTGTGACTCTCTCCCAGTGGCCGTACTCCCCGGGGCAGCTGTGTCCAGCTTCCCAGCTCTTATCTGGCAGTTTACCTCCCCTGTCCAAGGTCTTCTCTCAAGTTTTACTGTCTTTGTTTAGTCCTCCTGGACTTTCTGTCCTCATCTCTAGAGTGTATTTTGGTTAGCACCCCTTAGAATTTACTGTCCTTATCTCAGAATCCCTGCCTGCACTGTCCCTGAAGCTGCCTAATGAACCCTAACTTGCCCTGGGACGCAGTAAGAGTGTGGTCCTACTCCTTATGAAAGACTGGGAGCCTTATGAGAGGAGGAAAGGAAGGGACTCTCTTTTCCAGCCAAGCGAGGGCACAGTAAGAACAGACAATCTGGGCCTCCCCGGTGGCGCAGCGGTTGAGCGCTGGGTTGCGAAGCTGCCTGCAGCCTCTGCAGCTCCGGTTCAATCCCCAGCTGCTCCCCGGCCACCGGAGGAGGGTCCCACATGGTGCGCAGACCTCTCCTGCCGCCTGCTGCTCCCCTCAGCAGTGTACTTCGGTCCCTCTGCCTGCTCTGCTCCCCGCTCTGGCTCTGGTGAATTCTCTCCCCCTCCCGCGCTTCTGACTGTACCCAGTGCTTGTATAAATAAATAAATTAAAAAAAAATCCATTAAAAAAAAAAAAAAAGAACGGACAATCTGCTAGTCAGGAAGTGGCTCTGCAGTGAAACAAGCCAGCTCTCTCTTCCTGCCCCATCAGATAAGCATTCCTATTTGTCACATTTAATAAGATTGTCTTCTTGCATTCTAAGGAAAAAGGATATCTCTTCTTGCATTCTGAGGACAAGGAAGGCTATCTCCAAGAGGATATTAGGAAAGTTAAACATCTAAGGAAGGTAAACATCAGGTGTTAACAAAGCAAGCTGGCGCTCACATGAAATCTCCAGACACCTGCATCAAAAGGACATGCCGACCCTTACCCACCTCCCTTTTGTTTTAAGGGCGAGTCTGCTGTCCTCAATTTGTTGTTCATCAACAAATTAAACTACTTTCCTTCTCAAACTGTTCCCTTTTATTGAGGGAGGGAAACTGAGGCCAGTCTTTGGGACTGACTCCTCACAAGGAACCAAACAGGTCAGCTTCTTGACCTTACACTTCTCGGCTGTAGAATTCTTTAAGTAAATAAAACTGCTATTTAAGCCATCCATTTATGGTATTTCATGACAGCAGACCAAGGAGCTGTTTTGCGTCTAAAAAGCTTAAACTTCACATCCCTGGGAGACAACAGGCTCCAAGAGAATTCACGGCCTCTGGTACAGTTACAAATGGCCAGTCTCTTAGATAGGCATGAACAAATCTGTCCTTCCCCTATTTTCTGACAGGTTTGTCTTTGATGGGCATTAACAAGATTAACAGTTTTGTCTTTCCCCCATTTGTTGATTTATCTTTATGACCCAGTCTCCCAAATGAGCATTCCTGCATTTCAAGGATGAGAAAGTTAAACATCAGCTATTGAAGAAAAACAAGTTGGTGACCACCTGTCTCAGTGCTGACCCCCTCCCTCTCCCCTTTGCAGACCCTGGCCCATCTCCATTTTTTTTTTTTTTTTAAAGATTTATTTATTTATACAAGCACTGGGTACAGTCAGAAGGGCGGGAGGGTGAGAGGATTCGCCAGAGCAGGAAGCAGAGTAGGCATAAGGACAGAAGTACACTGCTGATGGGAGCATCGGGTGGCAGCCATCTCCACTTTTTTCCCCCTTTGTGTAAATACCCCTGCCCTCTGCCAAAGAGCAGGACCGTTGTCTCTCAGACATGAGTCTGCTGCCCTCATTTGTCAACAAATTAAAACACTTTCCTTTTCCTCAAACTCTGTTTCCTTTTATTGGCTAGGGAAGCTGAGGCCTGCATTCCATAATACCTCTGTGAATCAGAATTCGCACAGAACTGTACTTCAACAGCTGGGGAGATGAGATCTAGCACAGAACCCCACATTCTCACCTCGCTCTAGACTTGTCTCTATCCCAGCTCCATCCTCACAGCTCTCACACTGGGTATTGAAAAACCTGCTATGACTTATTTGTATTTCTAGGACATTCCCTCCAAACTAATGAATTCCATTCATTCTAGTCCCTTCGATTAGACTCCCTCCACCTAGTCTCCAAAGGGTCAGCAGCACCGCGAAGTCAACAGTTTGTTTGGGCTCTGGGGTCAGACTGCCATTTCTGGGATCCCAGCTGCCTCCCTACTTAAGTTAATATCCTAACTTTTGGGCCTCCCTGGTGGCGCAAGGGGTTAAAACGCAACCTATGAAGCTGTCCACAGCCTCTGCAGCACGAGTTCAATCCCCAGCCCGCCAGGGAGCTACCCACAAGGCGCAGCAGACCTCTCCTGACTCGCCCGCTGCTCCCCTCAGCAGTGCATTTCAGTCCATCTGCCTGTTCTGGCCCCACTGTTTCTGGTGAGTCCTCCCACGCCCCGCACCTCTGGCCTGCACCCCAGCTCTTGTATGGACAAATAAATCTTTAAAAATATATATATATACTAACCTTCACTTTCCTTATCTGTGAAAAGCGGGAAAAGCAAGCGCGCTCCCGGGTCGGCAGAGATGTTAGATGCTGTCCGGAGAGTGCTCAGCACGGGGCCGCGAAACTGAAGCCCCGGGGGTGTCAGCGCCCGCCCTAAGGGACTCCCCCCATCACCTGCAGGCCCCGGCCTCGTTACCTCCCCTCCCCCCATACTTTCTCGCCCGTCAATCACACACGGCCCTCGCCCCCGGTTCCAGAATGTTTTCAGTCGCCTACTCGCTCCGCCCCCTCGCAATACCCCCCCCCACTACCCCCACCCGCCTTCTCTGCGTTTCTGAACCTGCCCTTTCTCGTCTCCGCGTCCCCAACCCAGTCCCCTACGCCGCGCTCACCCTCCCCGCCGGCAGGAAGGCGTCGCCGCGGTGTGGCGTCCCCGGAGTCACAGGGGAACGCCGCAATTTGAACTCGCCGGGGCGCTCTGACGACGTCGATCCGGGAGGAGCGTGCGGCGCTGCCACGCCCCCACGCCGCTGCGCGTGCGCGTCCCGGGGCGCGGCGTCGGGCGGCGTCGGGCGGCGTCGGGCGGCGTCGGGCGGCGTCGGGCGGCGTCGGGCGGCGTCGGGCGGCGTCGGGCGGCGTCGGGCGGCGTGGGGGGGTGTCTCTTTTGGCGCCACTTCGCTGGGCGGGCGGGTTCCGGGCCCGGGAAAGCCGGACGTGAGGGACGTGAGAGGCGCCTAATCCCGCTGCCCTCCAGCCCGCTGTGGGCCCGTGTGGCTGCGCCTCCTCCAATTAGCGCCAAATGCACTGAGCCCCGAACAGCTGTGTGACGTGATAAAATGGGCTGGTGTTTACGCGGCACCTGCGGGGTGGGATGCTGTTGCCAGAATCGGGACAATGTCTGGGTGCAATTGAATTGGGTTGAAAACCAAGCCCCCCGGGGTGGAGGGAAGCAAATATTGTCTGAAAAATGTAAAAAATGATAAATGTTAAAAATTTTTAAAAATCTAAAAAATAAATAAATAAATGATAAAAAATAAGCCCCCAGGCCGGACCCAGCAGGCAGGTGTGAAGGTTTGAACAGATAAGGCTGCCTTGGGGATAAGGCCATTGAAAGGTCCCTGCAGGAGGCCGGAATGCAAAAATCCACCTGGAAGCCCACCTGGGAACAGGAATGCGGAAGCCTGCCTGGAGGATGCAGACAATGAACCTCCCCTCGCCCTGTTAGGGGGAAAAGGATGTCCTAAAGCTATACAAATCTTTTCTCAAAGAAACTGCCCCCGCCCTACAAACTTTTCCCCCAGTAAGAACCCAGTCTCCCACCTGACCTCTCCTCACCCTATAAAAGCCTGCATCCCCTGACTACTTGCGCGGCTTCACTGACCCCCCCTTGGGTCCCTGAGGTCTGCCCAGGGCGCAATAAATTTTCCCTTCCTTTGAGAAATTTAGCCTGGCTCTTCTTTTTTTTACCTTGCCAAACCTTTCAGCCATAAAACTGCTACAGCCCCTTCCCCTGGGGGCCATCCTCTTACAAAACCAACCACCATGGCCAGGAAAGCCAGCCCCGGCTCCAGGAATACTGTACAGCTACTGCTGCCACTTTACCACAAGTTCTTGTCTCGTGAAGCCGTACAAAGGAATTCACAGACTTTTCAGATAAGTAAGCAGAGAAAAGCAAATCTTGTCTTAGAAGAAAAGTTTATTTTAAGAAAAAGAACGAAGAGTCCCAGGTATAAGTTACCTTGTGAGAGGTCCATGCAGGAGGCCTGAATGCAGGAGCCAACCAGGAAGCCCACTTGGGGGGCAGGAATGCGGATACCTGCCTGGAGGACTCAGACTATGAGCCTCCCCCCTCCCCCTAGGAGTCTCTTCTCAGACAAAGAACCTCTACCTGCCCCACGAAACTCCCCCCGCCCAACAAACTCCCCCCCCCTCCCCCCCCCCCCCCCCCCAGCCATAGGAGCCCAGTTTCCCACCTGACCTCTCCTCACCCTATAAAACCCTGATTCCCCCTGACAGCGTGCGCGGCTTCACTGACCCCCACCTTGGGTGCGTGAGGTCCGCCCGGGGCGCAATAAACTTTCCCTCCCTTTGAGAAATGTAGCCTGGCTCTCCTTTTCTTTACTGCGCCGAACCTTTCACCTTGGAGGGGCCAGGATGAGCCAGTATGGGGTCTGGCTTCAGGAATATACACTTTATTTCCCTCATTATCTTAAAATTCCAGTGGTCTTTCCCTGATTGGTTAGTTCTCAGGTGGTCTCACTTCATCTGCTCCTGAGACATACGGCTAGCTAGGGTAATTAGGCATGAGACACAGGGCAAGCTAGGAATTAGGCAGTTTTGGGGACACTGCAGGAGGGGACCTCAGAGAATTAAGGAAGGCTTCAGAGATAAGGGCAGCAAGAGGAGTGTAACCAATTCCACTAGGAAAAACAAACATCCCAGGACCAAGGACAACATTGTTAACGCTGGTCCTGGTTTCCTTCAGGTGGTAAAGGGAGGCAGAGATTGGGGAAATGGAGAGTGGTTTAATTTATGGACACATTAGAAGGGCAGCTGTTTAACTTCAATGCAGGGATGCCCATCCAGAGGACTGGGCCATAAAGATAAAGATGCAACAAATGGGGAAAGACAGACCTGCTAGATAAGGAATGTGAACATCCCCCACTCAGTAGCAAATTAAGTGAGACAGCCGAGAACTAACCAATCACAAAGAAACTGGTGGAGCTTTAGAATAATGAGGGAAAGAAGGTCTATATTCCCTGAGACACGACTCCACTTTGGCTTCCTTGCCCCTCCCTGGCCTGGTTTCATGGCCTGGGAGTCCTACTTTATTTCTGTTCCTTTTCTCCTCAATAAACTTTTTCTTTCTCTAAACAAACCTGCCTCTTCTCGCTTGCTCGCCTGAGCGTCTGCAAAGTTCCTGCTGCGGCTTCGTGAGACACCAACCCCAAGTGGCCTAGTGGCTGGGGCTCAGCACTGCCCCTGCAGCCTGGGATCCGTTCCTGGCTGGGAGACTAGGCCTGACAATTCCGGTATCACTCCTGAGCAGGGGATCTTCACATACCTTATCCTTCATTGTACTCCTTAGTCAATGTCTTCTTGACCTTAGTCCTGGGATGTTTCTTATTCCCACCGGAAAGAGACACAGGGCAAGTTAGGGTAATTAGGCAATTTTAGGGACACTGCAGGAGGGGACCTCTGGAGAATTGAGGAAGGCTTCAGAGATAAGGGCAACAAGAGGAGTATAACCAATTCCACTAGGAAAAACAAACATCCCAGGACCAAGGACAACATTGTTAACGCTGGCCTTGGTTTCCTTCAGGTGATAAAGGGAGGCAGAGATTGGGGAAATGGAGAGTGGTTTAATTTATGGACACATTAGAAGGGCAGCTGTTTAACTTCAATGCAGGGATGCCCATCCAGAGGACTGGGCCATAAAGATAAGGATGCAACAAATGGGGAAAGACAAACCTGTTAGATAAGAAATGTGAACATCCCCCACTCAGTAGCAAATTAAGTGAGACAGCCGAGAACTAATCAATCACAAAGAGACTTGTGGAGCTTTAGAATAATGAGGGAAAGAAGGTCTATATTCCCTGAGACACGACTCCACTTTGGCTTCCTTGCCCCTCCCTGGCCTGGTTTCATGGCCTGGGAGTCCTACTTTATTTCTGTTCCTTTTCTCCTCAATAAACTTTTTCTTTCTCTAAACAAACCTGCCTCTTCTCGCTTGCTTGCCTGAGCGTCTGCAAAGTTCCTGCTGCGGCTTCATGAGACACCAACCCGTGGGGGTCTAGTGGCTGGGACTCAGCGCTGCCCCTGCAGCCTGGGATCTGTTCCTGGCTGGGAGACTAGGCCTGACAATTCCGGTATCAGGAATTCGTTACGTTCCTCTTGATGTCTTTATATCTGGAGGCTTCCTTAACTCTCCTGAAGTCCCTGCACTGTCCTTGAGGCTGCCTAATTATCCCTAACTTGCCCTTGGATTCAAAAACCTTTCCCAGAATGAAGCCAAGGTCCCTGCACTCCAAATCCAAACTCCAGGTTGATAGTGTCAGAATTGAATTAATTACTTGTGGCAGAAAACGCACACCTTTTACAAACTTTCAGAAAAGTTTGTAGGGATCATCTAATCCAATCTCTCCACTGCGCAAAGGGGACCCCACACCCAAGGAAGGACAGGTACGTTCTGTTCTAAATAGAAGATGCACTCCCTAGAGCAGGGGTGAAACTTCAGCTTTGTTGTTGAACATGGGGCAGCTATCTGATGGTACAGAAGCCAAAAACCTTTTGAACAAAGAACCAGTTTAATGCAAGTTCACCTGGCAGGAGACTGAAGGCTTGGCTCAACTCAGTCTCCCCAAGCATAGGGCTTGGGCAATTTTTTAAAAAAAGATTTATTGGGCCTCCCCAGTGGCGCAGCGGTTGAGCGCTGGGTTGCGAAGCTGCCCGCGGCCTCTGCGGCGCCAGTTCGATCCCCGGCTGCTTCCCGGCCACCGGAGGAGGGTCCCACATGGCGCGCAGACCTCGCCTGCCGCCCGCTGCTCCCCTCAGCAGTGTACTTCGGTCCTTCTGCCTGCTCTGCTCCCCACTCTGGCTCTGGTGAATTCTCTCACCTTCCCGCGTTTCTGACTGTACCCAGTGCATGTATAAACAAAACAAAACAAAGAAAGAAAGAAAAAAAAAAAAGAAAGAAAAACATGCCTCTATTAAAAAAAAAAAAAGATTTATTTATGCATACAAGAACTGGGGTACAGGCCAGAGGTGCAGGGGTGAGAGGATTCACCAGAGACAGGGTGGGGAGCAGAACAGGCAGACTGACTGAAATACACTGCTGAGGGGCGCAGCGGTCGAGTCAAGAGAGGTCTGCTGCACCATGTGGGTAGCTCCCCTGGCTGGCCAGGGATCCAACTCAGGCTTCAGAGACTGCAGATAGCTTCATAGTGCTGTGCTTAACCCCTTGGCCACCAGGGAGGCCTGCTTTGGGCAATTTTTAAGGAGTTGAGGAACAAAGAAAAAAATACTGAAAATGCAAGTTGGTAGACTAATTGGTAGCTATCCGCTAAATGACTATTTAGCTCCACTTAGGTTCAGAACTGCAAGAAGACTGAACACCCCTTTCTTCATTTCTGAATGTTGTCTGCTGGAGGATAAGAATAGAAAAACCGGAAAGGAGGCGCCCCAAGACCAGAAACCTGGCTCACACAAGGAGGTGTGGGTAGAAGGGATTGACATAGCCATTGACTGACTCAGCTATAGAAACCAAGATCCTTAGGTGCCAGTGCCTAGATTACAAATCATAACATCAAAGAGGGCATCAGACTGCTGCTGTAGGGAGTGTGTAAAGCACAGACCCAAAGGTAAAGATATGGAGATTGAATCCATTATAGAATCTCCAGTCCCTTTCAGATTCTGCATAATTATTCAACATCAGCAGCAAACAGGCCACTCCATATAGGAATGGCCCCTCCCAAAGAGAAGTCTATAGGTGCAGTCTCTGCACTGGCATGGGT